TTTTGTTGCTCTGACTGGGTGTTTTTTTCTACCTTGTCTTCCAACTCACTGATTTGATCCTCTGCTTCATCAAGCCTACTTTTTATTCTTTCTAGTGTATTGTTCATTCAATATATTGTATTCTTTTTCTCTTGACTCTTATTCATAGTTTCTGTGTGATTTTTCATGCTGATGTAGTTTTCACTAAGCTCTGTGTAGTTCCCATTGAGTTCCTTGTAGTTCTCACTGAGTTCATTGAGCATTTTTATAATCATTATTTTGAATTCAATGTCTGATAATTTGATTGTCTCAATTTCATTTAGCACTATTTTGGGGGATTCCTCCTTCCTTTCAATTGGGTGTCATTTCTTTGTCTTCCTATTTTAGATGACTCTTTTTTTTTTGTTTCCACTTGTTGGATTGATCTGCTTTGACCCTCTGAGTCATAAGGCTGGCTTTCTATGCTGGGAGACCTGTGGGACTCAGTGGTGCTATTTCCTTGATCTCCTGAGCTGGATGCTCTTGGGATGCCCTTTGTTCTGTTTGTGTGGGTACTCTTGTTAGAGTTGGCTTTTGGTTGTTGTTGAGTCATTTTTTTGTGGCTTCTTCTTTTCAGCTGGCTCACTGAGAGTCATGACTCCCACCACATCTTGTATGCTATTATACAGGTGCTGCCAGAACAAAACATAAGAACCAGGAAACAAAACTCACACCTTCAAAAATACCCCCTCAACTACAACCACACTATCAACAATGAATGAGTCAGTATTAATAAAGGTGGAAAGGGATGAAGGCTCTTATAAGAAAGGAAAAACAAATATGAGATGAAAAATAGAAAGAAAAATGATTTTGAGATGGTAGAAGGAAAAGAAATAATAAGAATAGGGAATAGAAAATGGTGAAGAAAGAAAGAAAAGAAAATTTACAGTATAAATTATAAAATGGAAGGAGAAGGTAAATGGAGTAAGAGAAGGGAAGAGTATAATATGAGATTTAAAAAAATGAAAAGATAAAAAGAAAATTGAAGGAAAACAACCACCACAGCAATATCAACCTCAAATGACCAAAGATTAAAAGAGGCAGAAAGAGAATATGAAGGAAAAAAGAAAGAAAAAAGATTATGACATGTATAAATGAAAGAAAAGTGATTTTGAGAAAATAGTGGGAGAAGAAATATAAGAGTAAAGAAGAAAAGCCAGGCTAAGGGAGGAAAAAAAATTAAGACAAAAAAAAAGGACAGGAGGAAGGCAAAATGGAATAGGAGAAGGGAAGAGTAAAATTTGAGACTTAAAATACAAAAATAGTGAGCATATAGGAAAAACATTTAAGAAATCATCAACAACCACGATGTCAATAATGAAGGAACAAAGATTAATAACGGTGGAAAGAGAATAAAGATATTATAAAAAAGGGAAAAAGAGTGTGAGATGACCAGTGGCAAGAAAAATGGTTTTGAGTCCTGGCTGGTGTGGCTCAGTGGATTGAGTGCCAGTCTGTAAACCAAAAGGTCTCTGGTTTCATTCCTGGTCAGGGCACATGCCTGGGTTATGGGCCAGATCCCCAGTTGGGGGTGTGTGAGAGGCAGCTGGTCAATGTTTCTCTCACACCTCTATATTTCTCTCCTTCTATGTCTTCCTCCCTTCCATCCTCTCTAAAAGTAAATAAATAAAATCTTCAAAAAAAAAAAGAAAAAGAAAAAAATGGTTTTGAGAGGCTGGAAGGAGAGGAAATAGTAAGAGTGTGGAATAGAAACAAGGCATACCAAGGGGGAAAATAGAATTTAAAACAAAGATGAGAAGGCAAATTAGAATAAGAGAAGGGAGAAGTAAAATATGAAATTTGAAATAAAACTAAAGTACGAAAATAGTGAAATAATAGGAACAAACTTGAGGAGAAAGAAAAGTGTCAACAAGCCATGTCAGAGAAAAAAATAACACAAATTATGAAGAAGACCATGGTGGAATTTGTCTCAGCAAAGTCTAGTATTTGCCACTGTCTTCTCTTTCTGGATCCACCCCTGGTGATGTCAGATGTTGTCCTCGCCATCTGGTGTCATGGTGCCCTGCCTGGCCCTAGGCAGCCTGTGCAAGACTACAAATGATCCACAATCTGTGGCTTTCTCCTTAAGTCCTGGCTGGTCTTCCTTGTTCTATCCTGCTGGCCTACCATCAACACAAAGCCCATCAGTGGTTCATATAAAGTCTGAGAGCACTACAAGCATTACTTCCACCTGTATCCAAGGGGACTTCTGGTGCAAGTGGGAGAGTGGAATCCCTGGGTCACCCACAGGAGGCACTGTTCAGTCTTCTTGGAATATGCTGGGAATATGGTTTCCTCACTGCCTGTCCCCCACTCCCTTGTCTTGGTCTATCCCAGATAATTTCCAACAGTGTGTAGTTTCTGATGAATTAGCTGTCTGTTTCCTGTGAGGGGCCAATCTGTGTAAAAGGAGCAGGTCTTTCCTGCTTGCTGCTGATGGCAGCTCTGTATAAAAGCTGAGGCTGGGCAGGGCCCTGAACACCTTTTGCTGTGCCAGGGCCCAATGAACCAGCATAGCTCATAGTATGTGATAGAAGTTCAGAAAGGGCCCTTTCAGAGCTTCTTCTTTCCATTGTGGATATGCACTGAGCTGGGGGCTCCTGAACCAGGCCTCACTGATTGGCAGAGACTGCAATCTCACAGGTGGGTGTTGGGCATGCCTACCTGTGAGTGGACCTGCCCGACTGCAATGAACCTCAGGTGCTTAGCTCCTGGACATCCAATCCCCAGTGTGCCCCTCTCATACGAGACTCAGACCCAAACATTCCACTCTGCAGCCTGCTGCTTGCCAGCTGTCCTGGGTCAGGTCCCGCAGTTCCTTTGACATGCCACTTTCTGTTCTTCCTGTGCAGCTGGACTCAGTGGGAACACACTGCATTTTCACTGTGGTTTCTTTGTTGGCAGAGCCCCTGTATGTGTGAGCGTGAGGTCCCTGCCTCAGCTCCCCCTTTAAAATAGTCTCTTTTTGGCACCCACGCTGAAGCCCTTAGCCATGGGTTGGCTCTCTGTGCAATGCCCAAAAGCAGAAAGTGTCTCTTGGTCAGGGCTATTCACAGTTTTAAGAGATAGAGTTTCTCTCTGGAACTCTCCTGGTTGGTGCTGCAGCTATGGATGTGCTGTTTGCTGTGTGTGTATAGCCTAAGTCTCCCACCCTTCGAGTGTCTCCTGATTAGGGTTGGGTTTTTTTCCTGTAGGGGATCAAGGCCCCCACTTCAGGATGGGAGAGAGCCATCATGATGTGTTCTCCTCTGCTGCAGATGCCTCACACAGAGCATTTCCCCCTCAACTTATAAAATCTTACTGGAAGATGCAAACCATCTTCTGTACTCATTGACTTCAAAAATTCATATTAGCTGAAATTCTGTTGATTGTTCAAGTCACTTTTTGGATGATTAGCCAAAAAGACATGCTTGAGGCACAAGCAAGTGGGCTCGGCTTCCACCTAATGGGCCTCCGTATTCTATACGGTTATGTTAATAAATGGCAATGGATGTGTGCCTCAAGAAGCAGTAGGGAATGGCAGGGCTGGTGTGTTCTGTCTTTACCATTATACTGTGAATAGCTCAGAAAACTGAGAAAATATTCTTGTAGTATTCAAGAACTATGTGATTGAGCAAAGAATTCATGCCAAGGTTGAATGAAGTTCTGATGTATATTTCTGTGGTTTCCATGTTTACTTCTTTTTTATTAAAAATGAAAGTATCAACCAACACTTACATTTGAGCTGGTTGTTAAGTAGTTACTAGGGTACCCCCTAGCTGTTGGCCTTGCAGTATCTGCTTTCTTTCTACTGTCACCATCTGTGGTGATGCTTTTCTCCATAGCAGTTTCGTTTCTCAGGAAATGTACTTTAACCTGATTAGTAGACATACTGTCTATGTATGTATCTGTGTATCTATCTGTGTATCTATCTATCATCTATCTATCTATCTATCTATCTATCTATCTATCTAAGGCAAGCACAGTAGTAGACACTGGACACTAAGAGAGAATAAACAGTCATGTCACTACTCACGTGGGCCTTTCTTCCAGGGGAACAGACATTGAGTAAATAGTGAGCTCATTTGGGATAGAGAATAATGGCTGGCACTTATTGACTACTTGCTGTGTGCTATGGACTAGTGAAAAAGCTTTATACACTCATTTGATCCTCAGAACAGCACTGCCTATTATTGGCTCTATTTTCAGCTGAGGAAAACTGAGGCCCAGAGGTGGCATTGCCCATTTAGAAAATAAAAAAATACAAAATTTCTAGTAAAATTTGACTTGCAGATGAACAACAAATGATTTTTTTTAGTATAAGTATATCCCATGCAGTATTGGGGATATACTTATGCTACAAAATAATTTATTGTTCATCTGGAATTAAGATTTAACTGGGCATCCTGTATTTTATCTAGCAAGTCTAGTTAAATAACTTGCCCAGAGTCACTCAGCTAGTAAGAGACAGGTGGGCATTTGTACACAGATTGTCTGGTTCTAGACCCACCTTTTGCCTACAACATCACACTATGCTGTCCCTCTAGAGCAGCTCCATTTAAGGGAGATTTAGAAAATAACTCCACATATAGCAAAGGAAATCTCTTTTAGGAGAGACTGCACTGGTAGCTTGGGGCATGAGAGAGTGCCCACCTTGGGGTAAACTTTCTGGACTTGAAACCTTAATCACCTACAGAGGCCAGGCAGGTCATGGAAAAGGGTGACTGGGTGGGTGGTGAGGTGATTATTATGTCAGGGGACGTGTGCTCAGCATTCCCAATTCTTTGTGTTTTCCAAGAGAAGTTGGAAATCTGAGTTTTTATGAGGAATACCCTCTTTTAAATGTCAGCTAATGAAAAATGTCACAGCTAGCCTATCCAAAAGTGTGTAGGCTGCTAGCTTGTGGTCTCCGCAAAGTAGGAGCCTGGTCGTAACTGCTGGCCATGGTGCTGACTGTGCTTCCTGGCCTGCCCTCACTAACTCTCCCAACATTCCATGTCCAGGCAACCATGGAAACGCACCTGGAGCAGCGTCTGTACCAGCCCCAAAATCTACTGCAGGACCTGAGGGAAGCAGATGCCCAGCAGTTCTGCACCGCCATGAAGTACCTCTGGGAAGACAAGAGGGACAACATGGTGAAGAGCTCTTGCATCCGTGGAGTAGGGGAGGTCCAGGACCAGCTGGCATTTGTTGAGCTAAAATGAACTGAGGCTGATTTAGGCCCCGACCTTTCTGTTTATCTCCCTGACTTCTCCTTCCCCAATTCTCCTGGAGCTTTGGACCTAGAATTTTCTCCAAAGTTCAAAGGAAGAACCTTATGATTCACACTTTTATGGCTACTAAGAAACAAGTGGCACTGAGGGCCTCCAATAGTTTGGCTTAATAAACATCCATGAATGATTACTATGCACCTGGGGACAATGGGTTCAGAGATAAAAGACTGTCCTGGACCTCAACAAGTTTACAGTCTGGAGGGGAGACAGAAAAACAGAAACAGATCATTTCCACAAAACAAAGTTGGTGATGTAAGAGAAGTCAAGGCCTCAGACCCAGGAAATCCACTGGACTTAGAAATGGGAGGTTTTGAGTTTTATTTTTTTCAGAGACATGTTTGTGTGAAGCAGTGCTTTCCAATAGGAGGTGGATCATTTAAACATTCTAATAATCATAAGTGTACTTTAATGTTTGTGATTAAAATAGAATGGACACATCAAACCTGTGAGTTTGGTAGTAGAAATGTAATGTTTCTTTTGAAATGAATTTAACTAAAAAAAAGTTAGTTCAAAAAATATGAAGTAAATAAATAATAGTAAACAAAGTGCCAGATAATGGCAAAAAATAGGGGGGGGTGGTATATGAGAATGATACTGATTAATGTTTATTAGAGGTTTACTATGTGCCAGGTATTATTCTAAGGGAATGGCCAGGAAACTATTTCTATGAAGGGCCACATAGTAAATATTTTAGTCTTTGCAGGCCATATAATTTCTGTCACAAGTACTCAGCTCTGTCATTGTAGCAGGAAAGCAGCCTTAGATGGTAGGTAAGTGAAGGGATGTAGACATCTTCCAATAACACTTTGTCCACAAAAACAGGTCATATGCCAGATTGGGCTTGTGGGCCATAGTTTTGCCAACAGTGCTGTAAGGATGTAACATGCATGGATCCACAGAATTCTCTTAGGGCTTTCTGAAATAAATATAATAAGAATCTTACCACTTTAACATTCAGATGAGGAAATGGGATTAGAGAGGTTGGGAAGTAAACTCGGATTACATACCCTGAAGGGGCAAATCTGAAGTTGGACACTGGCCTCCTGATTCCAGCTTGAGCCCTGCTGGCATCTGGTAAAACCCAAGGGCCTCTTCTCAGATAAACATGTTAAAATCTATAAAATAAAATACAAATGATTACAAAGGAAGCCAATTCTATTGAAAGACATTAATCAAATATGTTTAAAAAATTGGAGTATGATAATTTATGGGCTTCTTGAACACATCCAATAACAAGAGTTAGCAGCAGGTCTAATAGCTCCTCTGCATTTTGAGGGAGTGTTGAGTATAAATGAGATTTCAGTATGTCAGCAACAACTGTGACAATAAAAGGCCTGTGGTTCCTACTGATGACAAATCATAGGTCCTGCTACCACCTTGGTGACTTGTTGCCCAAGTCTATCCCTGAATGAAATGCTGGATGTCAGTTCTATGTCAGTGAAAATGAGGGCACGGTTTCCCCCAAAGTGTTAACAAATGTCCTCAATTATATCCACAAACCTCTGCTTAAGATCCCCTAAGCTGCACTTACTAACTACACAGTTTTACTCCTGTGGTAAGAGACTGAAGATAGCTGAGAAGTGTGGGCTTAGTCTCAGATTCCATCTCTGTGTAAGTTAGGGCAGGTTGCTTATTCCCTCCTGGTTTTTTTTTTTTTTTAAGATTAAAAAAATTTATTTTTAGAGAGGGGGTAGGGAGGGAGAAAGTGAGGGAGAGAAACATTGATGCACAAGGGAAACATTGATTGGTAGCTTCTTGCACACCCCCAACTGGGAACCTGGCCTGGAACTCAGACATGCCCTGCCTGGGAATCAAACTGGCAACCTTTTGCTTTGTAGGCTGATGCCCAACTCACAGAGCCACACCAGTCAGGGCCCATTCAAGTCTTATGTAAATCTAAGAGGTAGGCACTAATTTTATCTCCATTAAAGAGGAAGAAGCTAAGACTTAAAAGAGATAAGTAATTTGAGAGTAATTTGCTTCAGGATACACAGATAATAAGTGGAGGGTATGGGATTTAAATCTAAGAATGTCTGATCCTTAGACCTATAGGCTTAAACTACCGGACTGTGGTGGGAATTTGTGAGAAGACACATGTTTACTCCATGCTTGGCACAGTGCCTGTTGTGAGGAAAATGCTTAGTAAATGGTGACTTTTATTTTTGGAGAGTGTATTGGGTGAAGTACAGAGGACCCAGTCAGATTGTGACCAAATCCTGATAGCATTACTGGATTCTATGATTCACAGGATTCATCCATTCATTTACTTCACTTTATTCTTTCATACATTCACTCATTCAGTGGGTTATTTCTCAATGTCTTCTAGGTACCAGGTATTCCACTAGGCTTATGGCTTGGGCCTGAAAGGACTCTCCTGGTTCAACCCCACACTAGAATCAGATGCCAGAACTTCACCCCAGACTAGTTAAATCACCTTCTTTGGGGGTGCTGGGATCACTACCCCAGTGGTGCTGATGTGCAGGCAGAGTTGAGAACCACCAGCTTGGAGGAAAGACAGTACCATGAGCATCTCTAATACATCACAGGGTTTGGTTTGGGATGCTTGGATCTGACTGAAGCAGGAGAATATCAGAGAGAACATCACCAATTGTGTGATGATTGAGTTTGGACTTAAAGGATGAGCTGGGTTTTGCTGGGAGAAGGAAGTGGGGAGTGAATTCCAGCTAGAGAAAGGACCTGAGGTGTGATAGTCATGGAATGTCTGAGCAAGGAATGGCACAGTGTGAATAAATCTGGTGAAAGCCTTGATTTTGTTCTGTAGGTGATGCAAAGTTGTAGAAGGTGTGACGTAGCAGTGTTACACAGTGGTGCTTAGTTTCCTCACTGCTGCCAAATGTGGTCCCTGCAGGGCTTCCAAATCTGAAGACTGCTCTCAAGACAAGCTTAGCTTCTTTTATTCCTTTAGAAACTGGAAGATATCGTTATCGACTTGAGAGAGATTCGGAAACAAGCCTTGCAGAGCCCAGGCGTGAATCGCAGCCTATTTCTCATCACACTGGAGAGGTGCTTCCAGGTGCTGAACTCTCAGGAGTGTGTGGAGATCCTGGGCAAGGTGCTGAGGGGGTCCTCAGGGAGCTTCCTGCAGCCTGATATCACAGAGAGGCTTCCCCAGGACCTGCATGAGGACGACTTCAAGAACCTGTGAGTGCTCCTCCTAGCCCTCTTCATCCACTACCCCTCATAAGCTGTTGTGAGAATTCAAGGAGGTAGTACATAGCAGATGGGAGAAGGCAGGTGGGGACAGGTTAGTATATGAGGTCTGGAACAGAAGCCTGAAATCTGTGTTTAGAGATGGTTTTATTAAAACAGTGTCTCCCAAATTTCAGTCATTCTGGTCCCATCTCATAATTTTTGCCATATCTATACACACCTCATTATTATTTATTCCTTATTTCTTTATAGTGACTCAATCTTTTTTACTTCATATTTAGTTAAACAGAAAATTTGATATTACTACTGTAAATGGGAAATTAGTGTTATTTGTCTTGAATAAAAGTAATCATAAAATAAGTACATTAATAAAAGAAAAAAGAAAAACAGTGCCACTAAATCCTAGGTAGATGTGTTGGTTTTCCAAGGCTCTGAACTTGGGGTCTTTTCTCTCGGTTGAAAAGGAGTTGAGTGTTGTTGAAGACTCACTGGCACTGAGACCTTGTCCTTGAGGGGTGGGAGGACTAACAAAGCACTGAAGAGGAAGTGCTTTTCCTCTGAGATGCTGTGTCAGTCAATGTGTTAGCCTCTCACCCTACATGGTATTACATTGGGGGGTGGGAGATACCAAATTAGAGGCTTGTTTCCAGAACTTGAAAGCCCATAGGGATTGTGATCACTACTAACTTCTTCCTTTTACTAATTATATCACTTTATGACCCTAAAAGAGGCTTTCTAAATCTAAAAATGTCTTACAAAAAGGAAAAGACCAATGATGACAACAACTTGGGAGAAACTGTGTATATGTGTGTGTGTGCACACACATATGGTCTGTCCAGAAGGAATCCACCCATGTAATATGACAAATAGAGACATTTATTGAGGAAGGGTCAAGGTACAAGAAACATTGTACATAAGACAATGATGCTTCAATCCTCTTCAAAGTAGGCACCTTGGGACCTCACATAGTTCTCCCAATCACTATCAGCTGCCCCATCTTATTGTCCTGAATTTCACTGATGGTCTAAAATCTCTTCCTTTTCAAAGGTGATTTTGGTTTTGGGAAAAGCCAGAAGTCACAGGGTGCCAAACCTGGGCTGTAGGCGGGCTGCGTCCCCTGGGTGATTTTATGTTTTGCCAGAAAATGCTGCACAAGACATGATGCATGAGTGCGTGTGTTGTCATGATGAAGCTGCCAATCGCCAGCGGCCCATAGCTGCAGTCTTTCTGAATCACCTGAATAGTTTCTGCAGAGGAATGTTCAAGCTTAATGCAAAATTTAATCTTAAAATTTAATCAGTAGGTCAGACTACTGGGGAATACCAGAGCCAGCATTTTTGCAAATGGGCAGGCTTTCCCATAAAGAATGTTTACCATTGCCCCAGAACTATGTCTATGTCATGTTATTTTTACCTACTCAGCTATGGAAAAACAAAACAGCAACAACAAGCAAAAATAAGTAAATGAAAAATGCAGAAATAAGATATTAAGATGGACTTAAGGGAAAGTTGGCTTGTTCATGTAGGCAGTGACTGGGAAAGTGAAAAGGATGAAGTTTAAGCTTAGCAAAGGCTTATGAATTGGTCATTTGGTGAATTGATTGTCAGTGGTGGTGGGTAGGAGTGAAGGAAGGTTTCCAAGACAAGGAGACTCAGCTGTTTTGCAGCATAAGCCAGAATGGTGATCAGTACAAAATTCTATGAAAGGTTGACTCATATTTGGACCAAATGGGACCACTGGACATGGCACCACGGGGGTCACTAGTAACTTGGATCACAGGGAGTGGTGTGGTGGTAAGGAAACCAGATTTCAAGGGCTTAAAAGTGATCTAGATGCTTCACACCCAGCAGGATGTCTACAAACAAAACATCAGACAATAACAAGTGTTGGTCAAGATGTGGATAAATCAGAACCTTCACACACTGTTGGTGAGAATGTAAATTGATGAAGCTACTTTGGAAAACAGTCTGGCAGTTTCTCAAAAGGCTAAATGTAGAGTTTTTACTTAACTCAGGAAGCTCACTCCTTCATATGTGTCCAAGAGAGATGAAAACATATGTCCACACAAAAACTTGTACATGAATGTTTACAGCAGTGTTATTTATAATGGGCAAAGGGTGGAAACCACTTACATGCCCTTCAACTGATGAATGGATAAACAAAATGTGATCTGTCTACATAGTGGAATATTATTTGGCTATGAAAAGAAATGAGTACTAACTCATGCTATAACATGCATGAACTTTGAAAACATCATGTTAAATAAAAGGAATCAGTCACAAAGATGACATATTGTCTAATTTTATTGCTCAAAAATGTCTAGAAGAGGCAAATATGTAGAGACAGAAAGTAAATGAGTGGTTTGTAGAAGTGGGGATGACTAGAGGTTGAAGGTTGATAGCTAAAGGATACGGGATTTTTTTTGAGGTGCTTAAATGTTCCAAAATTGATTGTGGTGATGGTTGTACATCTTTATGAATAGACTTAAACCCACTAAAGTGTATATTTTAAATGGGCAAATTATATGGTATGTGAATTATAGTCTCAATCAAACTGTTACAAAAAAAAAAACCCAACTCTGAAGTGAGGAAGTGGAAACTAGTCTTGGGAATGTATTTAACTGAGGGGCCAAGGAGAAATGGGTAAAGCACCCCATATAGCAAGGGAAGGAGGAGGGCTTTTATTAACACAAGAGAGACTCCACCTGTCTGTTCCTTACTTGCCCCCCCCTCCCTGTGTTTGTGTCCTTCAGATCTGCGGTATTCAGAGACCTCTATGACCAAACCTCGGCCCATTCCCAGCAAGCTCTCTACTCCTGGATGGCTGGTGTTTTGCAGACATCCTCCAAATCTACTGGTGAGCCTGTGTTTTGATGTGGCATTGCTTTGTAGGGGGTGTCCATCCTTAAAAAAAGAGGTGCTTCATCTCTGAAGACAGATTTGATTTCAGTGTTACTTATAATTTTTATCTGTCCCTCCCCCAACTTCCAGAAACAATGTGGTGTGACTTGTGAAATGAAACACGTGCCCTTTTCCCATGTGGAAGCCTGAACTAAGGATGTATCATACCTCACAGTTGGCAGTGTGGCCTGGTTTTTTAGAGGGATACAAACAGTGATGGCATCCGACATATGAGGAGAACTTTTAGACTAAGGGTACAGGTTCAAAATCTGTATTAAAGTGGCATAAGATAATTTTTAAAATAAAATCTAGGAAATAAAATGAAGAAATTTAGCACTAAGCTTCTTGGCAACCCAAACAGAAATAGATCAGGATTCATTTATTTGAGAGATGTTTATTAAAAATCTGCTATGTCCCTCTAGATGGGTCAAATTCACAGTGACAGAAAGTAGAATGTTGGTTGTGAAGACTGGGAGGAGGTGGGTGAGGAGTTAGTGTTTAAGGAGTAGTGTTTCAGTTTTGCAAGATGAAAAAAGTTCTGGAGATGGATGATGGTAATTGTTGCACAACAGTGTGAATGTACTTACTACTACTCAACTGTACACTGAAAATGGTTAAGATGATAAATTTGTTAGGTGTACTTTATCACAATAAAAAAACAAAGAGAAGAGAAATATAGAAAAAAGATTGTCTGTAGATTAGTAATATAAACAATTTTTAAGGTAAGCTTTAACTTGTTGAATGTTTAATGTCAGTAATGTAAACAGAATAAACTTTTAAAACAGTTTTTAAAAGCCTACTATTTGTCAGCCACTGGGGATACAGAGAAGCATAACATAGTGTTTGTTCATGGAGCTATTGTTTTATTGGAGAAGGGTGAGTGGAGAAAATGTCCAAACAAGTAAATTAGAGTGGGAGAGAGGGAGAATGAGAGAGAAAGACAGAGAGAGAGAGAGAGAGAGAGAGAGAGAGAGAGAGAGAGAGAGAGAGAGAGAGAGAGAGAACAGGGCTGGGCACATATTTTTTATGAGGTGACAGAGTAAATATTTTAGACATTGTAGAACTATGGTCTGTGTCTCAACTATTAAACTCTGATGTTATAGCAAAAGCAGACATAAGCAATAGATGAACAAGTGTGGCTGTGTCCCAATAAAACCTTATTCATGAACACTGAAATATGAATTTCATGTGCCACAAAATATTTTTCTTTTGATTTTTCTTTCAAGTATTGAAAAGTGTAAAAACCAAGCTTGCAGGCAGTATAGAAACATGGTCAGCTGGTTTGGCTGGAAGTCCCAGTTCTCTTCCCATCACTATTGGTTCCCTGTACATTTTCCTTCATTTCTCTTAGCATAGCCTTCACTTTTTCATCTAATTTGCAACCAAATTCAACCAATTCTGTGAGCATCCTGATCAACAGTGCTTTGAACTGTGCATCTGATAGGTTGGCTATCTCTTGGTCTCTTAGTTGTATTTGCTGTGGAGCTTTGATCTGTTCTTCCATTTGGGCCATTTTTTTGTGTGTGTTGTGGTGCTTGTTACATATGAGGGGTAGAGCCTTAGATGTTTCTCCAGGCTGGGCAACCCAGTGGCTGTGTTGTGATGCCGTATGTGGGGGCGGAGTCCGAAAGGGAACAATGGTGCTTGCTCCACTGTCTGTAGGATCTCAGTCCCCTCTGCCACTTCCCCTAGGCAAATGGCCTTTCTGGTGCTGATTCCCGTGTGGGTGGGCTTGTATACATTCTAGGACCCTGTGGGTCTCTCCAACAAAATGTCCTGTGAGGCGGGGAGTCTCTCCCTGCACCTTGACCCCCACAGATGTTTTCAATCGTGTTTTGAGGCTTTATTTCCATGTGCTGGGACTCTGGGTTGCATGATCAGTCTCGCTCTCTAATTTTGCCTGGTTTATCTGCGTGCGAATGTGGGACTGCTGCCCAGTCAGCTGCCTTGCCTGCAGTGCCTCGCTTCACAATCGCCATCTTGCTGGGTCTGCCCATTGCCACCTCATGCCCATGGTCCTCCTGCTGCAGTCTTGCACGCCCAAGGTGCCTTTCACTCTCAGTGCCACCACTTTTTGTGTTGTGACCCCTGTTTGTCCAGGTGCCCGACTCACCCCGCTTACCAGTCTGGATGAATGTGTCTATTTTATCTCCTTGATTGTTCAACTTCCATACAGTTCAATTTTCTGTCTGTTCTGGTTGTTGTTTTGTTTATAAATTGTTGTTGTCTTTATTTTGGTTGTGCAAGGAGGCACAGTGTGTCTACCTACATCTCCATCTTGGCTGGAAGTCTATTCTGTGCTCTTAAGTCTTAACAAGTAAGCTATGTTTCTACTGAGTGTTCAGATGGCAGGCACCCATGCTTCCTGATGTGTGGTATAGTGTCTTGTGGGTAGGAGGCTGTCTGTGAATGGCCATCAAATGAACTGATGAATTAAGGAATATAACAAGGAGGTCCTAATAACAAAGATGCTTTTGACAGTCACACTCTAGTGTAGAGGCTTTTATTTGTTTATTTACTAATTCACCCATTTATTTATTTTCTTGCAGATAACTCTGTTTCATGGGTCAGCGCAGAAAACTTATGGATCTTGGGCAGATATATGGTTCACCTATCACTTGAAGAAATTATGAAAATTAGTCCTGTAGAAGTAAGTTGGGAAAGTACACTTAATGCCCCCTTACTAATACAGTACATCTAGAGTAAGGTATATTTTAAGCCTCTCATGTTCAGCCAGCCAGGTGAGGTGCCCTGGAAACTGGACGCCTTCTTCAACCCAATATATCTGGGTATCTAAGGAAAACTCTGGAATAAGGCCTCAGTAGTCAGTCATTGGATTGTGTTCTAGCATAGGAGAACTAAGAAAAGAAAAAGAATTGTGATCAATTGAGATAGCTCTGATGGGGACAAACATGATAGAAAGAGAATGTTGGCTATGAACCAAAAATCACTTAAGAGTATTTTTATCCTCAAAAAAGGCCAAGGACAATAGCTATTGCATTTCCAGCCCCGGGAAGCATGACTCCAAATCAAAAGTAACATGGATTAATAGCTAGGTTTATTTATAGCTACTTTTACTGCTACTTTATTGTTACTTTAGCAGGAGTAATGATTGGATTTTAACTCTGTTCTAAGGTTACTTAACTCATGGTCAGCCTATTTCTCTCCTGCCGATGTTGATCCAGTGACACTAAAATCCCTTGGGTGCCCTGACTCTGGAATGCAGCCTGCAAAGAAACCTGCCAGCGCGGAGGCACTCATGGATAGCTTGGGGCTCACCTCCAGTTTTCCTCCCGTGTGCCCTGGCTGTCTCCTGGCCAGTGAGAGAAGTCTTTGCCTCAAATGACAGACTTGTTCATTGGCCAGCTGACCCGGTGATGCCTGGTTACTTTGATATCAGAGGCAACACTAAGTTACTCTTTTTCACCTAGGAGGCTGGGAATATGTCCAATGTCTCTCCATTTTAAACCTCCATTTTACCCTGCCAGTGCTGGATGAATTTCAGGAAGCAGATAGAGGTTAAATTCTGAGGAAGCTAGGCATTAGGACACAATTTCTAAGATCAAGAGTCCATTTGCAACTTCTCTCCTTTGTCTAAAAGTGTAGAAAAGGAAAATGAAATAAGAATGCCAACATTAAGGGGCATTTTTATATGGACAAAGAGTAATCTATCAGGGAGAGGCAACCTTCTAAGTCTTTTAAGCGCAGAATAACTGTGTTGAAATATAGGGGATGTCAATATGGATACCCTTGGACACAGGCAAAAAGTGAACAAGAACAGAAAGATATGAATATACTATTTAGATTCTTTTTATTCTTATTTGCTTTTTATTTTATTTATTTTTATTTTTATTTATTTTTATTTTTTTTTAATCTATTTCTCCCATCCCACCCCCCCCCCCCCCGCCCGGTCTCCCCCCTCCCTCCCATCCCCCCCCCCCCCCCAGTCCTCATCTCTGTGTCTTTCATACTTGTTCCTCAAAATCCCTCCCCCTTTTTTCCCCTTAAGTTCCCTTCCCTCTCCCCTCTGGTCGCTGCCCACTTGTTCTCTATTTCAGCGTCTTTGTTTTTATTCTGTTTGCTTGTTTGTTTTATTCTTTAGCTTCCTGTCAAAGGTGAGATCATATGGTATTTGTCCTTCAATGCCTGGCCTATTTCACTCAGCATAATGCTTTCCAGTTCCATCCATGTTGTTGCAAAAGGTAGTAGCTCCTTCTTTCTCTCTGCTGCATAGAATTCCATGGTGTATATGTACCACAATTTTTTGATCCATTCATTTACTGATGGGCACCTAGGTTGCTTCTAACTCTTGGCTATTGTAAATTGTGCTGCTATGAACATTGTGGTGCATAGGTTCTTTGAAATTGATGTTTTAGGATTCTTGGGGTATAATCCTAGCAGTGGAATTGCTGGGTCAAAAGGCAGGTCGATTTTTATTTTTCTGAGAAAATTCCATACTGTTTTCCATAATGGTTGTACCAGTCTGCAATCTCACCAACAGTGAACTAAGGTCCCCTTTTCCCCACACCCTCTCCAACATTTGTTGTTTGTTGCTTTGTCTATTATAGCCATCCTGACTGGGGTAAAGTGGTATCTCATTGTGGTTTTAATTTGCATCTCTCTGATAGCTAACGATATTGAGCATCTCTTCATGTGTCTCTGGATATTCTGTATGTCCTCTTTAGAGAAGTGTCTGTTCAAGTCCTTTTCCCATTTTTTAATTGGGTTCGATGTCTTCCTAGAGTGGAGTCGTGTAAGTTCTTTGTATATTTTGGAGATTAAACCTTTGTCTGAGGTATCATTGGCAAATATGTTTTCCCATACAGTTGGTTGTCTTTTTAATTTAATACTGTTTTCTTTAGCCATGCAGAAGCTTTTTATTTTGATGAGATCCCATTTGTTTATTCTTTCCTTTATATTCCTTGCTCTAGGGCACATATCCGTAAAAATGTTGCTGCGTGGAATATCTGAGATTTTCTTGCCAATGTTCTCCTCTAGGACTTTAATGGTGTCATGGCTTATATTTAAGTCTTTTATCCACCTTGAATTTATTTTGGTGTATGGTGTAAGTTGGTGCTCAAGTTTCATTTTTTTGCACGTAGCTGTCCAGTTCTCCCAACACCATTTGCTGAAGAGGCTATCTTTACTCCATTTTATGTTACTGCCCCCTTTGTCGAATATTAATTGACTGTAGAGAGTTGGGTTGATTTCTGGACTCTCTGTTCTGTTCCATTGGTCTATGTGCCTGTTTTTATGCCAGTACCAGGCTGTTTTGATTACAGTGGCTTTGTAATACAGTTTGATATCAGGTATTGTGATCCCTCCTACTTTGTTCTTCTTTCTCAAAAGAGCAGCTGCTATTCGGGCTCATTTATGATTCCATACAAATTTTTGAAGTGTTTGTTCTATGTCTGTGAAATACGCCATTGGTACTTTAATAGGTATTGCATTGAATCTGTATATTGCTTTGGGTAGTATGGACATTTTGATGATGTTAATTCTTCCAATCCATGAACACGGTATATGTTTCCATTTGTTTGTGTCTTCCCTGATTTCTTTCTTCAGTGCTGTGTAGTTTTCTGCATACAGGTCTTTTACCTCTTTGGTTAGGTTTATTCCCAGATATTTTATTTTTCTTTTTGCTATATCGAATGGGATTTTTTCCTTGATTTCTGCTTCTGCTGATTCATTGTTCGTATACAAAAATGCCTTTGATTTCTGGATATTGACTTTGTATCCTGCTGTTTTGCCAAATTCATTAATTAGTTGGAGCAGTTTTTCGGTAGAGTCTATAGGATTTTCCATGTACACTATCATGTCATCTGCAAACAGTGACAATTTTGTTTCCTCCTTTCCTATTTGAATGCCTTTTATGTCCTTTTCCTGCCTGATCGCTGTGGCCAAAACTTCTAATACTATATTGAATAGTAGTGGACTATTCAATAGTCCACTACTGTCCACTGGAAAGTGGACATCCTTGTCTTGTTCCTGATCTTAGTGGAAAAGCTTTTAGTTTTTGTCCATTTAGTATGATATTGGCTGTAGGTCTCTCATAAATGGCCTTTATTATATTGAGGAATGTTCCCTCTATTCCCATTTTGCTGAGTGTTTTTATCATAAATGGGTGTTGTACCTTATCGAAAGCTTTTTCTGCATCTATTGATATGATCATGTGGTTTTTGTCTTTGCTTTTGTTTATGTGATGAATTACATTTACTGTTTTGCGAATGTTGAACTATCCTTGCATCCCTGGGATGAATCCCACTTGGTCATGGTGTATAATCTTTTGGATATATTGTTGGATGCGATTTGCTAATATTTTGTTGAGGATTTTAGCATCTATGTTCATCAGCGATATTGGCCTGAAGTTTTCTTTCTTTGTTGTATCTCTATCTGGTTTTGGAATTAGGATGATGCTGGCTTCATAAAAGGAGTTAGGGAGTTTTCCATCCTTTTGGATTTTTTGGAATAGTCTGTGAAGAATGGGGGTTAGCTCTTCCTTAAATGCTTTGTAGAATTCTCCTGTGAATCCATCTGGTCCAGGGCTTTTGTGTGATGGGAGTTTTTTGATTACTGCTTCAATTTCTTTTGCTGTTATTGGTCTATTCAGGTGTTCTACTTCTTTTTCATTGAGTTTTGGGAGATTATATTTTTCTAGAAATGTGTCCATTTCCCCTAGGTTTTCAAATTTCTTGGCATACAGTTCTTCATAGTAATTTCTTACAATCCCTTCTATTTCTGTGGTATCAGTTGTAATCTCTCCTCTTTCATTTCTGATTGTGTTTATTTGTGTCTGTTCCCTTCTTTTCTTGATGAGCCTACTTAAAGGCTTGTCTATTTTGTTTATTTTTTCAAAGAACCAACTCCTGGATTCATTGATCTTTAGAATTGTACTTTTAATCTCTATGTCATTTAGTTCTGCTCTGATCTTAGTTATTTCCTTCCTTCTACTTGCTTTGGGCTGTTTTTGTTGTTGTTCCTCGAGTTCTTGCAGGCGTAGAGTAAGGTCATTTGTTTGAAATGTTTCTGTTTTTTTTAGGTAGGCCTGTATTGCTATACACTTCCCTCTCAGGACTGCCTTGGCTGTATCCCATAAGTTTTGGGTTGTTGTGAGATCATTTTCATTTGTTTCCAGAAACGTTTTGATTTCTTCCCTAATTTCATTCTTGACCCATTCATCGTTTTATAGCATACCGTTCAGTCTCCATGATTTTGGGTGTTTTGGGTTTTTTCCTTTGGGGTTGGTTTCCAGTTTCAGTCCCTTATGGTCAGAGAAAATGCTTGGTATGATTTCAATATTCTTGAATTTGTTGAGGCTTGTTTTGTGCCCTATCATGTGGTCTATCTTTGAGAATGTTCTATGTGCATTTGAAAAGAATGTGTATTTAGCTTCTTTGGGGTGAAGAGCTCTGTATATATCAGTTAGGTCCATTTCATCAAGGGTGTTGTTTAATGCCGCAATGTCTTTGTTGATATTTTGTTTGGAAGATCTGTCCATTTTTGATAGTGGGGTGTTAAAATCCCCCACTATAATTGTGTTGCTGTCTATATCTTTCTTGAATTCCTCTAAGATTTTTCTTATATATTTTGGTGCTCCTATGTTGGGTGCATATATATTTATGATGTTAATGTCTTCTTGGTGGATTCTTCCCTTGAGTATTATGAAGTGACCTTCTGGGTCACTCTTTATGGCTCTTTTTTTGAAGTCTATTTTGTCTGATATGAGAATTGCTACCCCAGCTTTTTTTTCTTGTCCATTTGCTTGGAAAATTTGTTTCCAGCCTTTCACTTTTAGTCTGTGATGGTCTTTTGTCCTGAGGTGGGTCTCTTGTAGGCAGCATATGTGTGGGTCATGCTTTCTTATCCATTGAGCTATTCTGTGTCTTTTGATTGGAGCATTTAATCCATTTACCTTTAAGGTTATTATTGATAGGTACTTATTCATTGCCATTTTTGTACCTGTGTTCCTCTCTGTCTGTCTCTTTTCCTTCCTTTCCTTAAAGCAGACCTTTTAGTATATCTTGTAGAGCTGGCTTGGTGGCAGCAAATTCTTTTAGACTTCTTTTGTCTTGGAAGCTCTTTATTTGGCCTTCTATCTTGATTGAGAGCCTTGCTGGGTAAAGTAGCCTTGGTTGTAGGCCTCTGTTTCTCATTACTTGGAATATTTCTTGCCATTCTCTTCTTGCTTGGAGTGTTTCCATTGAGAAGTCAGTGGCTAACCTTATTGGGACGCCCTTGTAAGTTATTTCTTTTTTCTCCCTTGCTGCCTTTAAGATTCTCTCTTTGTCTTGGAAGTTTGCCATTTTAATGATGATGTGTCTTGAAGTGGGCCTCTTTGGGTTCCTCTTGAATGGGACTCTGTGTGATTCCTGGATTTGTGTGACTTTTTCTTTTGTCAAATTAGGGAAATTTTCTCTCATTACTCTTTCAAATATGTTTTCTATCCCTTGTTCTTCTTCTTCTCCTTCTGGTATTCCTATTATTCGGATATTATTACGTTTCATATTGTCTTGCATTTCTCTTAATCTCTCTTCATTCTTTCTGAGCCTCTTTTCCCTTTCCTGTTCTTTCTGTGAGATGCTTTCTACTTTGTCCTCCAATTCACTAATCCGATCTTCTGTTTGATCCACCCTATTTTTAATGCTTTCCACTGTGTTTTTTAATTCAGAAATTGTATTCTTCATTTCCCCTTGCCCTTGCTAATAATTTCCATTTCCTTTTTCATGTTGATATAGTTCACAGTGAGATCATTGTAACTTCCCTGTAGTTTCTGGTAGCTGATTGTGAGCTCTTTGAAATTCCTGATCACCAGTGCTTTGAATTCAGTATCTGATAGTTGACTTGCCTCTGTTTCATCTAACATTCTTTCTGAGGATTCCTCCTTTCCTTTCATTTGGGGATTGTTTCTTTGTCTTCCCATTGTTTGTGAGACTCTTCTTGTTAGCCTCAGCTTCTTAGATTAATCTGTTTTGACACCCTGGGTTTATGGTATGAACTTTTGTGGTGGAATGCCTGTGAATTTCAATGGTGCAGCCTCTTTTGGTTATCCTGTTGTTCTCTGCTTCCACCTACTCAAATATGCAGCAACTTGTGGCTTCTCTTCTACAACAATGTGCAATTTGTCTCTCTGGCTCTACTATTGGGAGGCCTCTTCTATGGGTCCAGCTCTGGTCTTTTTATATTTTCAAGTTGATTGTGACTCTTCTGGTTCCTCCGTGACCGATGAGGTTTCTGGTCTCTTATTTTCATATATGCTTGGCAACTGCTGGCTTGCTGGCCTCACCTCCTTCGATCGGATAGATTTCTGTCTCTTTTATACTAGGAACTGGTCTCTGCTCCGTCCTAGTCCACCGCCATCTTGAAACCCCTTATTTGCTTTTTAATCTTACAAAGACAACATGCATTTTTTATTGCCTGAGGGCCATTTTTAAGCTCATCTATAAAAAAACCTCTGACTCCCCAAAGCAGAAAATTTATAGACCACATTCTCTAACCTCCCTACAACAAATCTAGAAGTAAATGTGCAAATATTCGCTTTTTAAGAAGTTTGGCTTCTTGGATATTAAAAAATAATACTTTCTTAAATAATGGCTGGGTTGAAGAAGAAACTACAAGAGCAGTGACAGACATTTAAGAAATCTGTGACAATGAGAAGTGGGCGTATCCGAGTGTCTGGGGTCGCACAGCACGTGCACCACAGTGGTCTGGCACGGAGCCACATCAGTCCTCCTCACTGATCTTCCTGTCCTTGTCCTCTAGATTGGGCTGTTTATCAGCTATGACAATGCCACCAAGCAGTTGGACACAGTCTATGATATCACGCCTGAGCTAGCCCAGGCATTTCTGGAGAGGATCGACTCCTCCAACTTCGACATGAGGAATACCTCTACCATCCACAGGCAAGGGGCCAGGGCTCTGGGCCTTCAGGGCTGTTTCCCAGGAAGGGATCTAAGCATCCGGCTCCCCTGAGCAGCAAAAGGTCCCTGGACAGAAGGGGGGTGATGAGTCTGTGAAGAGTCTCTATGCATGTGAGGGCAGGTGTTTCCCCAAAGAGACCCCTAAAGAGCTCCTGAAGGGGAGAAGGGGACAGATGCTCTCTGAGCACCTCCTGCATGCCAGGCATTTTATGAACTTTATTAAGTGCTAAGGTTTGAATACTCTGTATTCTGTCCATCCCAAGGTAAATGTGTGATTCCTATAAGGTTGGGTCAGGTGTTGGAAATAGCTCCTGGGTTATCTATTTGTGAACCACTTGTTACCTAGACTCTCAGATGGGTTATCTAGCCCCCTAACCCCACCCAGGTAAAATGAGCTCTGGAATTTACTGACTGTAACCTGATCCCCTAGCAGCCATTTCCAGTAGGGGAGGGCCAGGAGCTGTGACCCCAGAAGGAGTTTGAATGTCAGGAGGATGGGGCATGCAGTGGGGACGGGTGGGGAGCACTGTTCAGTCACCTTTTCTTCATCTCCCAGGGCCTTACTGTCACAGTGATATTACTTAATTTTACTTACTCTGACATTATTGTAGTACCTTAAATTTTCCAAACTCACCAGTAGAGAATATTCTTATATAAAACTGTTACCCCTTCTTCTCCTATCCCTAGTAATTTTCACCTATTAGCATGGGTCCCATATTTCTCTGGTTACACACAAAAAATAGCTTAGTGGTTAAGAACATGGGACCTGGAATCAGACTTTCTAGGTTGGATCCTGGCTCTGCAACTTGTAAGTTGTGTGATTTGGGCCATGTTAGTGTCCCTGTCTGTGAGATGGGGGATAATAATCTGCCTACCTGATTAAGGCCCTTGGAAGGATTACAGACACCTGACACACAGTTCAGTGCTCAAGAGATATTATTCTTAATATGGTTATTAATATTCAGTCTTCGCCTCCCCCGAGTCATCTCATTAGACACAATTTCAGATCCTTTCTCTGACCTGGTTGCTCTCCCATGGACATGTCTGAGCAGGTCAGAGTCTTTCCAAGAGGATGGAGCCAGGTTGAGTATAGTCAGCTAGGTGGTCTGGCCATGTGAAGTCAAGTAGATGTCGTACTAATGCTAAGAGCATCCATTAATGAATGTATTCTTGGTATCTGCCAGGAAGCGAGTTAACCATTTGGTATGTTGATTCTCATTTAACTCTCACAGTACTCCTCATTTCTACATTCATCAAATTTATTATGATGTGCTCTGGTGAACAAAGCAAACCTCCCCTTTAATAAAGATTCAGAGAAGCTGGCCCACTCTGTACAGTAGTCAGGAGTGTGCACTGCACAACTGTGGACAGCAACCTAGCAGAGAAGTTAAGTGACTTGCTGGGGATTCCATAGAGCTGGGCCTCACACTCGCATTGGCCTAAATCCATGCTCTTAACCACTGGGTATGGTGGTCCCAGCTGGACCAGGGTTCAGGTCCCACTTCTGCCCCTATACTGTCTTGTCTCTTTCTTTCTTTTCAAAGTCATTATCATCTGGGTGTATAGGTTGTACAGCATCCTGGAAATGAATCTCTGACCAGAGACTGCCTTGGTGGACAAACACTTTGTATTGAGGTGGGAAATGGGAGTTTTCTGTCCCTACCCCTGCACCATGCTTTTCTCGTGTCCCTTACTGCCCCAGGAGGAGAGGTGACATACTTGAATGGCTCTAGATTTAAGTCCCAGCTCCACTACTTGTCTTCAGCAAGTCACTTGCCCAAGTCACTGCACCTTCTGCAAGAATTCCTTGTCTTCTCACACAGGCTCGGGCTGCTGGTTTGTTTCTATAGTGACCTGGAGCTGCTGGACGCCACCATGGCCCAAGTTCTTCTTCACCAGATGATCAAGTGCAGCCATCTGCAGGGCTTTCAGGCTGATGTTCAGAAGGTGCAGATGGGATATGGCCTGGGCCTTGGCCTCAGTTTTACTAGCCAGAGAAATGGGGAGAACAGTCTTGCCCAGCCTTTGAGAGAAACATGAAGGGTCAATAAGGATCTAGGTTCGCCGAGAGCAGAGGCAATACAAAACAGTGTGGAGAAGTTGGTACAGATCAAAATTCTGTCAGAGCAGCCACATCAAACTTAAGGGGGCATAAAGGTCACCTAGGGCTTTTAAATGCAGCTTCAGAATCAGTAGGGCTGGGTAGGCCCCAAGACCGCATTTCTAACAAGTTCCTTAGTGATGCTGGTGCTGCTGGTCAAAGGCCACACTTTGAGAAACACTGCTCTAAGTCCACTGCTTTACTTGCCGAGCTCCAGAGAAGGGGAAGGGCTGAACTGGGAGTACCAGAGCTGGGAGAGCTCCTTCCTTTACTTCACTCTGCTGCCTCCCAGTGGCCATTTGAATACTGCCTGGAACACAGTATACAACATCTAAAAAGAATACATATATTGTTCATACAAATTCAGGTGTTAAAACATGAACTGTGCTTGTGTTTCTTTCTTTTGTGCAGAGGTCATGTTATAAGAGGTAACCTGGAAGCAATTGGGAAACATGATTGACTACAGCTAGGTGGGCATATCATAATAAAATTAGTCTTAGGGTGATTACAGAAATGTGAAAACTTCCAAGACATCAATTTAAGCAAAAAATATAGAAAAGTGCACTTCTGTTGATATTACAATTATGTAAAACTATGCACTGTAGTTTATTTATAAAGTACATATTTAGAAAGGCATAAGAGGTCTTAGAAATCTATGTACATCCAATTACTAGTCATAGTTGTTTGTATGATGTAAGATCTTCAAGGAGACCTACTTTTTTTGTTACCACTGGGAATTACTTTTATATAGTTTGTATATTATCATCACCCCCCCACCTGGGTATTTTATAAAAGGAAAACAGCTATATGTATAGTGGTAGAGTTCAAGGTCACAAAAGGAAAAAGAGATACTTTGAGAGTGTGGTGGTGTTATGGGTGAAGTGGATGAAATTTCTGTCTGCCATACTTTAAGGTTGACTAGTAACAAGTTAATATGTAAATAAAGCACAAAATCAATTTGCAGGACATTAAGGTCAAAGCTAGCACAGGTGGTATTCTCAGTGGGGTGATTCATTCTGTGGGCATGGTAGGAATCTCTCTCCCTTTGGCTGCAGTTCCTCGCCCATTGGTGAGGCGGGGTGGGGAAGGGTGTTGTGGGGCCCTTATACCCCAGGATGTCAGAGGGAACTACTGTGCCACTTGCTATTGACCTCATTCCAGCTTTCTTCTCTGCTAGCTTAAAACTGACCTCCTGGACATTGCTACAGAGAACCAGACCCTCAATGAGACCCTGGGCTCTTTGTCGGATGCGATTGTGGGCTTGACCCACAGTCAGCTGGAATCTCTCTCCCCTGAGGCTGTGCACAGTGCCATTTCTACCCTCAACCAGGTGCCAGGCTGGGCCAAGAGCCAGGTCATCATCTTGTCTGCCAAATACTTGGACCATGAGAAGGTTAGTTGGAGCTCTGAATGCTTTTTCAATATTGCAACACCCAAGGGCCAGTCATATGCACACACAGCAAGGGCATCCAATCAGTAAGAAGATAGTGCCAAGGACTACTGGATTCAACTCCTTGTTCTGCCATTTACTACCTGGACATTTGCTACCTTGGACAATTGGCTTAACTTCTCTTTGTCTTGGTTTCCCTATTTGTAAGATAATATGGGTAACAATAGCACCTATTCCATAAGGTGACTGCAAGGATTATGAAGTCAGTACACTGGAAGAGGCCGGACCACCACGTGACTCAGAGTGTGAATTCAGTGTGTGTGAGCTCTCCTTGAGTTGTTAAGCAAAGTGTGAGATTCATCTCAAGATTTTGTTTTTAGTTGTTGAGGCTGCTAACACATCCCTCATCCTGGGATCAGAGATAATGCTATTTTATTCCAGTCTTGGACTGCACAGAAGGAATTGTCCCCGCAAAAGGAGGGACAAAGGAGGCAGTTAAGCATATAGGCTCTGAAGCCAGATACCCTTGGTTTAATCCCCAGCTCTGTCCGCTGTATGTGGCCTTGGCAATACACGGAAACATGTATCTACTTTATGCCCTAGCTGCTCCTGGGGTGGGAAATGGGCTTTTTTTCTTGGAGTATTAGTCTGTGCTGGGCCCAGTAGAAAAGGCTCCAGAGATCTGAGCTCTAAACATGGGTTCCATACTCTGGTTTCTCTTCACAGGATATAAATCTTTTTTTTTTTTTTTTTAACATTTTGGGTCCTACTCTTCTAGTTCACATTCATAGCTAATTCCCAGGAAGCAAACTGGCTCATGAATATTGGATGGGACCAATTCCAATATGACAACAACAAACATTTATTAAGTGCTTACTGTGTGCCAGGTTCTGTTCTAAGTGAGTTAATATTTTTTTTAAATCTTTAAATACAATGAAGTTTATTTGTTGTTATTGTTCAAGTACAGTTGTCTCCATTTCCCCTCTCTACGCACCCCCAACCTACCCATCCCCACCTCCCACCCTTGATTCTATTCCCCTTTGGCTTTGTCCATGTGCCCTTCACACATATGCCTTGACAACCTTTCTCCTTCTTTCCCCCCAAATATGAAACGCTTCATGAATTTTCATGTCACCCTTGCATAGGGCCCATGTGAATATTTTCTGCACTCTTCCAGTGTTTATGTGTGCTGCCAAAGTGAGCACAGTCAGTTAATCATTTAATCTTCCCAACAACCCTGTGAGGTCAACAGAGTTATAACTTTCACTTTCCCAGTCATTCATGTGAGGTACCAAGTATAAAGGGAATCGCCAAGAACACATAAAAGGGACACAGTTGAGGATGAACCCAGGACATTGGGCTTCAGAGCCTGCTTGCTTGATTCCCATGCTAACTACCTCCATCGAGGTGCTGTGACCATTGTCCAACCCATTCTCACTTTCTGACTCCAGGCCAAGGCCAGCCCATTCATCTTGTCTCGTCTAGCCTTGTGGTGACTTCAGTTTGAAGGCTTGGCAGCCCTTCTCTGTTTTGACTGGGGCCATCTGGGTGCATTTGATATTAGGGAGCTGAGGGAGACTGTCTTGTTCTCTCCCAGATCTGAATGAAGTGGCTTGTTTCTTTCCTGTTATCCAACTCTGCCTACAGTGGGGCAGGTGACTTCTACTATGAAGCCAAGGGCTTGAAAGTCTTGCCTTCTTTGGGGACAGTAAGAGACTATTTTATATAGCAAAACTAAGGGAAAACACTCAACTATCTTTTTGTAGAACCAAGGAATGTCCCTGTTTATACTGAAAACCATCTAGCATCTTTATTCCGAAGGAGGAGGAGAAAACATATAATTTCTGATAGGGTGCCAGCTACAGTCATATTTATCATAAAATATCAGACTCATATGCTGAAACATATCTTTATTTCAACTCAAAATTTCTTCCTGGATATAAATGAGTGTGGGGCTTTTGCTATGTCAGATGCTTGTCACGTGAGGTAATGAGAGCCATGGCTGCCTCAAGGCACTGTAAGAGGGGTCAGGACTGAGTGAACTGGGGGCCCCAGGGCCTACCTGAGAGGTAGTTCTTGCCCATTCCATTGTTACCAGTATGGGTTCATATCACCTGGTGTTCTGATTTAAAAAAAGATTAGAATGTGGGCTTTTATGGAAATTCCCCATATTTTTGAATGTTGAAAGCTAGTTCAAATTAAACACAAAAACAGCTGTTTGGCCAGCTGTGGTGCATGGGCCACTGTTTTTGGATATTTGTACTGTGGTCTCAGACAGCAAAGTACTTCCCCCAGTGGAGCAGTTAACATTTGTGTCCTATTTTAATATTTAACTCTTTCTCGATAGAAGAAAGGAAGGCCTGGGGGGGAAGCAAGCATCTTACTTACAGGGTTGCCCCTGGTGCCCATCATGATACCCAGCATGCAGTGGGACTGGTAAGTGCCCATAAGGTAAAAGGCCACAGCAGAGCCTCACATCCTCCTGGCCTGTCCTCACCCAGGTGCTGTCTTTCCACAATGTCAGCCAGATGGGTGTGCTGCTGCCTGGGGTCAGCACCCAGGCCTTCTACAGCATGGAGCACAGGGACCTCGCGCAGGTCCTGAGAAGCGCTGTCTCCTTGCACATGTCTGATCTGTCGCCTGCCCAGCAGCAAGGTGTCCTCAGCAAGGTGAGAGGGAGATATCTGATCTTCAGCCATGTGGCTCACAGAATATGTGGTTTTGAGGTTTTGTGCTTGGGCTGTGACTCTGAGATGTTGACTCAGGGCTGGGGTTAGCCCAGCCTTTGGTGGGGAGTGTTCTGAGCCTGGAGAATGCCTTTTTCTGATGCCTGCCTTGCCTCCTTTCCAGAAAGAGCCCTCAGGGTCATGTTATATTTCTTCTAAGACCCTGGTGCTCTCTCTAGCAAATCAAATTGGGCAGACTTCTTAAATTAGCCTACTTGATATAATATTTTTAAAGTTTTTTTCAATCTAAAAATGAATTCTGAACTTCCTGGAGTGCTTCTGAAAGCCTCTTCCATTGTTCAAAGTCATGCCACGTTCCTCTTTCCCATTTTGCAAAGGGTCTTTGGGACATCCTATTCTCTCAGACTTGACTTTTCCAACTGCAAAGTCTGTTAAGAAACCACACACAAGGGGTTTGGCCCCAAATGTCAATGCCTTGTAGATAGTAGTAGCACAAATGGTTAAGATGAAGAGTCTCGGTTTTGAAAGAAGACAGAGTCTGCTTGAATCTCACTTATCAACCAATTACTCATTAAGCCTCAGTTTTCTTGGCTGTAAAGTGGGGATAATGATAGTTCCCACTTCCTTGGTTGGCTGAGTAGATCCGATAGGTTTTGTTGCCCAAGAAGCACTTGACATAGTGCCTGGCCTTTACCCGAGACTCAGTGTACTGTCTTACAAGGCTCTTAGTATGTTTTTTGTCACTTTTGGCAGATTATTGAAGCAGGAGATGCCACCTCCAGTGTTGTGGAAATACAAGGAGCTTTCTTTAAGGAAGTGTCTCTCTTCGATTTAAGGAGGGAAACTGGATTCAACGCAACCGTCCTAAAGGAAAAGGAGCTTCGGAGGAGTCAAGTATGACACTAAGGGTTCTGACACCAATTCTGAAGTGTGTATGAGGGGTTTCCCCACACCAACAGGGACTTCTCTGACACTAGTTTGGGAGGTCCTATAGTTCAACTCAATTCTGACACTACCTACCTAGAGTAGCATCAGACCTCTGGGGTTAAGGCTCAATCCTGAAAGACTCTCCCCACTTCAGATACCACTTGCAAATCCAGGTTGTCACCTATGCTTCTGACTGATTATAGATTGGACGTTCCAGTGATGCCCTCCCTGGGTTTGATTAATTTGCTAGAGCAGCTCACAGAACTCAGAGAAACATTTTACTCATTAGAGTACTAGTTTATTATGAAAGAATATAACTCAGGAACAGCTAGAAGGAAGAGACGCATAGACAAGGTTTGGGGAAAGGATGTGGAGCTTCCATTGTTCTTTCCAAGTGCCACTCTCCCCAAATCTTCACACGTTCATCAACCTGGAAGTTCTCAGAGCCCTGTTATTGACCATGGGCAAATACTTGAACTCCCAGGCTGCCCCCCTCTCTGGAGATCAGGGGTTGGCCCTGAAAGTTCCCACCTTCTAATCATATAGTTGGCTTCACTGGCCCATCTTGGTCTATTAAGCCATTTCATCTGCTTTTGCTTTCTGGGATGTCATATATTCAGGAACTACCAGGTAGGAATGGAAATAGGGGCTGCAGAGGGTCCTCAACTTGGCAGCGGCTACATACAGTACAGGAAGTACCTAGAAGCTAGCTCCTCATTTACCTCCTAGAGCACAGGGAATAGATGGGTGTGAGAGCATGGGTTCTGTGAGTGCTCTACCACAAGTTCAAATCCCAGCTCTGCCACTTAGCAGTTGTGTGGTCCTGGGCAAGTGACAGAACCTGGTAAGCCTCTATTTTCCTATCTATAAAGGGGGATTATGGTGTGCCGTCCCCATAGGGATCCATGATGCTGGGCACACCATGTGCTCTGCATGGTGACCGAGTGCTCCATCAACACTGGCCATCATTCTCATCCCTCAGGCCTTGTTCCTGTATGAGCTTCTGTCAAAGACCACCAGAAGGCCCGAGGAGCTCCTGAGGTAGAAGACTGTAACTCCACCTGGGAGCTGACCAGCTCTTTGGAGCCTGATTTCCCAGCAGGGAGAGTTGGTAGCCTATGTCAGATCAGCTCTGCCTTCTCTTTCTCCTCCTTTCTTGTCTTACCCAACCCTTTCTTCTCCCAGCCTCTGGTCTTGTTTTTCTAGTGCAGGGCAGCTGGTCAAAGGCGTGACATGCTCCCACATTGATGCCCTGAGTGCTGACTTCTTCCTGGCCCATTTCCAGTACTTCGAGAACAACCTCTCTCTGCTTTCACCATACCAGGTACCTTCCTGTTTCTGTCTCTCTCTTCCTACCCTAGTTGCTGCCCTGCCTTGATTGGCATCTTAAGATATTCATGCCAGGATTATTCTTTTTTTTTTTAAAGATTTTATTTATTTATCTTTAGAGGTGAAGGGGAGGAGAAAAGGAGAGAAATATCAATGTATGGTTGCCTCTCATCTGTCCCTTGCTGGGAACTGGCCTGTAACCCAGGCATGTGTTCTGACTGGGAATTGAACCGCAATCTTTTGGTTTGCAGGCCCATGCTCAATCCACTGAGCTACACCAGCCAGTGCCTCATGCCAGGATTATTCTGATTGAGTGATGATGTGGGGCCAAATATTGAGCCAGGCTTTGTCCAGTTTCTTTTTTAAATGCTTCAAATACCCATGTCTTCACAGCCAGATTTTCCACAGCCTGGTTATTCTGTACGCTCATTTGAACCTTCAAATGCAATTGGAAGGTACAGCATTTTGCATGTTCAAAATTATGTTCTCCTGAGAGAGAAGACCATTCCCTCATCCAGCATTCTTATCCTTTTAAGGGGTGACCAGGAACAGAATGCCGCTCTAAGAGTATTTTCTTTTTCACTTAAAACTTCCTTTTTCAGCCCTGGCTAGTGTGGCTCAGTAGATTGAGCACTGGCTTGTGAACCAAAGGGTCGCTGGTTCCATTTCCAGTCAGTGCACATGCCAGGGTTACCAGCCAGGTCCTCAGTAGGGGGCATGTAAAAGGCAACCATGCATTGATGTTTCTCTTCCTCTTTTTCTCCCTCCCTTCCCCTGTTTCTAAAAATAGATAAGTAAAATCTTAAAAAAAAAACCCAAAAACCTTCCTTTTCCAAATGGCTATGGACGCTCTTTCACACTTGGTAAGATCAGAGGCAGGAAGGCTTGAGTTGTTCATTTGCTCTAAAGTTTCACTTTTGCTGGATGAGTAGGTTCTAAAGCTCTGCTGTTTAACGTGGTGCCTATAGTTAATGATGTGGTTTTGTGCACTTCAGAATTCAAAAGAGTAGATCTCAGTTACATGATCTCATGAAAACAAAAACAAAAGGACACAAGGAAACTTTGGGAGGTGTTGGACATGTCTCTGACCTTGATTGAGGTCGTGATATCACAGATATTTGCATGTGTCCAAACTCATCAAATTGTACACATAAAAGTGCAGTGTAGTGCTTTGCATATTATACCTCAATAAAACTGTTAAAAAGATACAGATTGCAGAGTGCCACTTGCAGACTTTCTCTTAGAGGAGGTCTGGGGTGGTGCCCTATAGTTTACATTTCAACCAATTCTGTGGTGAGAACAATGGAACTATATGGAATGCCTCACCCAAGTATGGAGGGAAGTCAGTAAATGATGCAGTGGATAGAGGAAGACCTACATATTCCAGCAGGAACAGTTGTCCCAACTGGGGAGCTCCTTACTTGGACTCTCCCTAGTTCTTAGAACCTTCAAATACAAATTCATTGGAAAACTTGCCTTTTTTGTGTGTATATTTTTCCTAAAAACACACAATTATTATATAAAAAATAGAAAGAAAATAAAATTTTCCCTAGAACAGAGCCTCTCAACAGGAGACCACGGGGCCCTATACGGAGACACTTGGTTGTTACACTTGGGGTAGATGCTACTGGCTTCCAGCAGGTAGAGGCTAGGGCTGCCACCTCATGTCCCAGAATGAAGACAACAGCCTCACAATTAAAGGGTTACCCCACCCCAAATGCCAATGGTGCTGAGGCTGAGACCACTTGCTCCAGGGGTAACTGCAGGGAAGAGTTGACTCTTGACTTTGAGAGTTTTTTGGTATATAAAACATATTTACATGTAACTTAAACAGCATGAATGAACTCATACACTAATATACATGGTTCTCTCTAACTTTATATACAACACACGTGTATGTATATAAAATAGGGCATGGACATCATTCTGTATTAATATATCTAAGTCTACCATGTGGAAACAAAATAGCTGTCTAGTATTCTGTTATATGGATATACCATAGTTTACTTACCCAATCCCCTACTGAGGGACATTAAGGTAATACCTCACTTTATTATAGTTATAAACAAAACTGTGGTGAGCATTCTCAAACTTAAATGTTTGTGTTCATCTTTCTATTACCTTAGTTTTCTCATCTATAAACTGAGCATGGCAGTGGTACCTACAGCACTGGTTGTTCTATTAAATAAATAAACATGTATAAAGTGCTTTGAGCAGTGCCTGGCACCAGAAAGCAAAATCTTGCTTGCTCTCATTATTATTTGAGTAAATGCCTAGAAATTTTTTAATCTTTCAGGTTAATTGTTTGGCGTGGAAATACTGGGAAGTTTCCAGGACCTTTATGAAGCCCTTCCTCTTGGCTGTGCTCCCGTAAGTGAACACTGTCCTCCCCCCACCCCCCTTTCTGGCCTAGCAATAGGATTTGTAGGGCTTCCCAAGCCAAAGTGCTTCTCTCCCCATGGGTTTTTGTGAGTAACCAGAGGCAGAGTGGAGGGTGCCTTAGACAGTGAAGTCTTTGAGAACTGGGATTTAAATTGTGAGCCCCACATAGATATTTTAGACCCTTGAATTTTCTTGTTTAAAAACTAAAGCCAAAGTAACCCAGCCCAATGAAGGAGTCCTGCTAGGCTGGTCTCACAGCTGTGCCCAAGCTCCAGGGGAATCAAGGCTGATATGAGATGTGGGGATTTTTTCTGGTATTGTGGGAGCTCAGGCCTGGGGGACAGCCCTGCTTTTAAAATATGGTATGGACACTCTTTTCCTCTTCCTTCTCTTGCTGTTATTGTCTTCATTCATTCAAAAAATATTTATTGAGTGCTTACTATGGATTGGTTCTTAGCCATAATTAAATTTTCCCCTTATAAGAACTTACAATCTCATGGGGGGGAAATAGACAAGCATGAAGCCAATTATAATATCAACTTGATATTTGGTTGAAAGTGACAGAATCTTAACTCAAACTGGCTTAGACTATGAAAGGCAATTTGGGGTTCAGGTAACTGAGAAGCCCAGGGCTAGATTTCACACATGGCTAGATCCAGGGGCTAGAATGATCTCATCTGTCTCTTAGCCCAGCTTGCCTCTGTGGGCATCTCTGTCAGGCAGATTCTTTCTCTGTGGTGGTCTCTGGCAGATCCAAGGTCACATCTTCCTGGTTTCATATTCAGGCAAGAGAAAAACTTTCTTTTCCCATTCTTCTCTATAAGACTTGGGTTGATTCTCATTGGCTTACATTGGGTCAATTTGCTCTCCTCGACCCAATCACTGGGATTGGGAGGTTGGGTAACTTTGGAAATAACAGTGAAATGAGTTCCATCCCAAAGCACAATGACTCAGAGGGAAAGGATGATTCTCCAAGAAAGCCACATGGTATACTATGGGAAGAGATAATGGACCCTGGGAACAGAGGAGAGAATATCTTCTTCAGACTGTAGAGATCGAACTAAAGCTTGAAGAATGAGGTGGGGTTAGAGAGTTCAAGATGGACACTCCAGGAAGGGGCACATGGGATGTTCAGTCCAGCAGGAGACATGGAAAGTGAAGTGCTCAGAAAAATTTAAGGCATGTATCTGAAGAGTAGTAGTTAGAGAGACAGGCCAGAGATGTAAGAGATGGTCAGATCAGCGAGGGGCTATGTGATGTGCACAGTTGTTTCAGCTGTGTCCTGGGCACAGCCCTCAGATTTAAGTTTTGGGAAGATCATCACCACTGCCTGTGTGACAGAATGCAGGGGCTCTGCTGGGAGGAGGGGGACAGTGGAAGCTTATTTTTACAATCTGGACCTTGGCATGGCTGTCTCCTTCCACTTATCCAAATCTCAGCTTAATTAGCACTGCCTTAGTAGGGCCTGTCCTGGCTGTCCCCCCATCATTCTCTATGACAGAGTCATTTTGTTATCTTCCTTACATTTATCATGAGCTGAAATACCTGTTGTCCACTAGTTTCAGTGTTTCCTATTCCCTCCCCTACAATTATGATGAAGGATCCTGAGAGCTAAGACCTCTCCCTCAGTTTTTGTTCATGGTTGTAGTTGTCCCCAGCATGGTGCTGGCATGTAGTAGATGCTCTGTAGATATCTGCGGAGTGAATGAATGAACAAATGAAGATGTGAATAAGACAGTGGTACTGCAAATGGAGAGGCAAGGGCAGATTTTAGTAGTAGTAAGGAGAGAGCAGTGACATCTGGGGGGCAAGGGAAAAGGATAGAAGAATATTTTGAATTTGGTTTTGAAACAGTCAAGTGGTGATGGTACATGGGTCTAAGAAGTCTTTCTTAACCTTCATTTCATTATTGACTCTCTAAGGAGAAAAAATTCATTTCTCCCTAATGAGAGAAATGATAAGGAATAATTTTGATGAGTAGGGTTGAGCTTTTATGGGTGACAAATCATTGTAGTAACAGATTATTTTCAATCTGTCTCTTCTTCCCTCTGAACCAGTTTCTCCCCCATTGGGGGGTGATATTCTCAACATCTGTTGAGAATATACAGTCAAGAATTTAGGCGGGCAGTCGTGGACTAGAAATGAGGAAATTGGAAGTCATTTCTTTTGCTCTCTTCATGCTCTCCTTTTCACTTTTCTTTCTCACTTTCTACTTTATTCTCTTTCCTGTTTGTCCCTTCCTTCTACTTTTCCTTTTCTTCTCATCTCTCCTTACCAGGTCCATTACTCAACGTGTGTTCATAGAAATACTGTTCTGTGATCAGTGTTGCTGAGGCATAGAAGAGGAGCACAATGGGAAGTTTGGTTCCATCTGTAGGAGAGGAGCACAATGGGTGGGAGGCTTGCTATCTGCTCATAAGAGCTACAACATTACAGGGAGAACAAACATTTAAAGAACAGCCCTGTGATAAGTTCCTGGGCATCAGACCCTGACTTCAGGGGTAATCCAATGCAGCCATTGTCTTCCTTTCCTTGGCCTCCCCATCTCTTTCCAGGGCTAACTACCTGGCTTCTGTCCCAGCTTCCCGATGTGTGCCCTTTTTGATCAGCCTGGGGAAGATTCAACTGGATTCCTTGGTTTTGGATTCTCACAAAAAGAGTGTGGTCCTCAGGAAAGTGCAGCAGTGCCTGGTAAGGAAACTTTCTGGGTGACACTTTGAGTGACTTTGTATTTGTGGTCCTCCTGGGAGCCCTCAGGGGATCTGGCTGGGATCTGAGACCACCGCCTGCAGGTGGTCTCAGAGCTAGCTCTGATCCACTAGGTGGGGCAGTCTTGGCCCTTGGTTCTGGAGACTGCCATTCTGGGACCTGAATGAGGAGAGACTGTTCTGGGGGACTGAAAAGAGTGCAGCACATAGTGTGGGGTCTAGACATGCGTGTGTGCTGGTGATCAGTTATGTGGCTATGGGAAAGTACTTCCCCTTCCAAGCTTCAGTCTGTAAGATGGGTATAAGAGAACTTCCCTTGTGAAATTATCAAGGGCATGAAATAAGCAAGGAATTGCTTAATACTAAGGCCCATAGGGAAGAGCATCCCAGCCACTAGCTTATAGTTTCTTTATCTCACAAAGGGAGGCCCTGGCTGGTGTAGCTCAGAGGACTGAGTGTGGGCCTGCAAACCAAACAACCGAGGTTCGATTCCCAGTCAGGGCATATGCCTGGGTTGCAGGCCAGACGCGTGAGAGACAACCATGCATTGATATTTCCCTCCCTCTCTCCTTCCCTTCCCCTCTAAAGATAAATAAGTAAAATCTTCTAAAAAAAGGGATAATATTAGTCCTTAGCTCTTATAGTTACTTTGAAGATGATGATGAATCAAGACCTGTAAATGCCTGGAACTGTGCCCAGATCACAGTAAGCACTCAATAAATGCTAGTTCCTTTTGTTGTGTTGAGAAAAATTTTCGAAGACTTTCAAGGGCCATACAGACTTTGAGGTGCTGTTTTTGTTATTTATGCACTGTTATTATAATGGTCGTTGAACTCTGGGATCTGTTCAAAGCAGCGACAACAATGACAGCCCTCACTTACCTAGTGTTCACCATCTGCCGAGTTTTGTCCACACTCACTCCCCTAGAGGTAAAATTAGGTCCTCCCTGGGTAAAGTCAGGCCCTGTGCTATCTTCACCAGTCCATGGCAGGGCAGGTGATATACATCCCAGAATTTTTATGAGGTTTGGGGTCAACACATGTTTATACAGCATCACAATCTTGAGTCCTACTGGGTATTCTCATCAGCTCCACTTGTCACTTCCAGAATAACTCCATTGCTGATGAGTACACTGTAGACATCATGGGGAACCTGCTCTGCCACTTGCCGGCGGCTATCATCCACCACGGAGTGTCCCCCAAGGCCTGGGCCACTGCCTTGCACAGCCTCAGACACTGTGCAGACCTCAGCCCTGAGCAGAAGGCTGCAGTGAGGCTCAGGCTCCTGGAGCAGCATGGGTAAGGAGGGCCAGGGCTCAGCCCCAGGCGTGGGGGATACTGGCAAAGAGGAGCCCAGCCCCGGCTCTTCTGCTTTCGAAACCTAGAGTCTCTAGCTCAGAACAAGTTGAGGCTTACATTTACTCTGGAAACGTGACTTTTCTTCTTTTGGTCTTAGATTCCCCTCAAACCGAGAACAGGGGTAGCTGCTCTTCAGGCCTCACATGGTTGTCCCCAAACATCATGGCATGTGGAAAGGAAAGTAGTTTTGGAAAGATAGCACTTTACAAATGCAAGGAGGTTGTAGTATTATTTTTGTCATGGAACAATAATAATGACAATGATGAAGATATGATTGAAGCACTGTCAGCTCTGGGCAAGTGAGAGCTCCCTGGGAGAAACAAAACTGTTCCTTTCCATGTAGAATTTTATGCAGTTTGGTCAAAGAGTTGAGAAGGCCCCAACCATGAGTCAATGATTAGACAACAAACATTTTCGGAGATATCACTGTATCCCAGGCACTGTACTATTATATGGTGTTTAAGAGCATGGAGTTGGGAGCCCAGACTCCTTGAGTTAAAATTTTGTTCTGTCATCTGCTCTCTGTGTAACCTGGGAGAAGTTACTTACTATTTTTGTACTTTATTTTTGCATCTGTAGAATGGGAATAGTAATAGTCCCCATAAGATTGTTGTGACAATAAACTGAGTTAATGCACACAAAGGACTTACAACAGTACCCAGCACATAGTACTGAGCATGTGACAATGGTTCTGCTGCTACAGCACCAAAGATGCAGTGGCTAGTGAGAAAGGTGTGGCTCTTGTCCTCACAGAGCTTATGGTCTAGTGGCATAACATTTTAAATCAAAGAGATAAGGGGGGAGCTTTTTGGCCAGAGTGGATTTGGCCTCAGTCCTAAGAGAGGGGTTATCATTGCTAACTGAGCAGATTTCCTTTAGAGATGTCACCAAATTTGCTGTGAGGCACTTCACTGTAGACCTTTGTGATGTCTACAAGAGCAACAGTAGATGCTGTATTAGTACTGTTAATATTATGTCAAGTTCAGGAGGAAATTTTGTGTTGCTATAAGAGAGAAGACTCTTAGGGTATTTTAAAGAAACAGATCATTACTGTTCTAATGAGGAAGGGGAGGAAAGAAATAGTGTGATGTAAATGACAGAAGTTTAACAATTCAATTCAAACTATAAAATGGGTTTATTGAGTTAAAAATTGAATGTAATGGAAAACTCTAGGGTGGACTAGAGGTATGATTGGATCCAGAAGCTCAAATGATATCATCAGGAATTTTCCTCCCATCCTCAGCTCTGTATTCATTATCTCCACTGGTCATAGAAATGACCTCCAATAATCTTTTTACTTCTTGGAATAACAGAAGGAAGAGAGAGAGCTTCTCTAGTAGTTCCATCAAAATTTCTAGGGATGGTTCTTATTGGTCGGTCTGTATCACATGCACATTGCCTTGGCCAGGAAAGTTGGCCCATGTGACCGACAGTGTCTCCACATATGAAGAAAGCCCATTTCTGAAAGAAAGGGATACCAGGAGATAAGGACAACTGGATGATTTTAATTTGTTGCTTATTATCTCTTCTTAGTCTCCCCCAGAACTGGACAGCTGAGATGACAAAGGACTTGAGACCCTTTCTAGTACTTTTCTCAGGAGATGAATTAAGCTCTGTTGCCACAAAGGTATCTCTATGTTCTATCATTAAAATTTAGTTCATTATACTCCACTGGGTTTGCTGCCAGCTCACTTTTCTGGAGCCTTCCTCCCTGCCCTAAAGAGCTCTGAGTTTCCAGCTGCACTCCAGAATGCCCATTGTTTAGAAAAGGAGAGTGAGCAGCAGCAAACTGAACTCTGATCTTTTCACATGGCCAGCTTACAGAGGTTCATAGCCTGTGAGCTATGACTCAGCCACCACTCTTCTATTTCTACACATGTGTTTGTTCCAAGTCTTACATGTGCCAGTGCCATGTGTACATGCACATGACCAGCCTGTGTAAGTGACCTGTACTTATATTATTGAGCATTCATTGAGTTATTATTGAGGTTGAGTATTTTATATGATTCTTTATAAAGACCAGGTTAGTTGGGTTAGGGATTAAATTTGAGATTTAATATGAGAAGCTGCTATGAAGGAAAAAAAAAAAACCCGAGGCAGTAAGTACTGTTATAGCTTAAACTCTGACTTCAATCTGTGTTTAATGTGCTTTAACTATTATTTGCTCCTCCTCATTTACCTTCTCTCCTCCCAACAGTTTCCTGATATCCTTCAACAAACAGCTTCTGAGATGACTGGGGTCTCGCTCCCTAAAGATTTCCTTTGGGCTGTCTTTGTGTCTGTTCGGGACAGAAGTGCGAGGAGCCCCAGCACAGCCTCCAGCCCTGGTGAGTGTTTCTGGCCATCTGAACCCCTACCATGGCAGTAGTGTCAGGCTGCGTTGCTGGCACCCAGAGGCCTCCTTGTCTAGGACACTGAATGAAGTGTTTGCAAAGCAATAGGCAAAAACCCATAGGCCAATGAACTATACCTTTGTAAAGTGATTTGGAAGCACATCCTGCATGCCTTACCCAGACTAGTGGTTTAATGGTGGACACATGCAACACGCATTTCAAAATGATTAACATAACGGGACCAAAATGGCTGAGTGGCTGTTTGCAGTGATGGGTGGGGCCAGCCTGGCTGGCTTTGAACCCTGGGTCTGCTGCTTCCTGGCTGTGTGATTGGGTAAGCTTTTTAACCTTTCTGTGTCTCCATGTTTGTCTTCTGTAAAACAAGGACAATAAAGTCTGTGCAAGATTAGGTTACCGTGAAGATTAATGGGTTTAAAGCTCTAACATGTTCCCAGTAGTACCTGGCGTGTAGGAGATGCTTGGTAAGTGTTAGGCATTTTTATTATACTTACTCAGCACAGACTTATGCCAAGCAGGAGGAGATAAAGTTAATCATACCTGATAATAATTGTAATAATCATACAATTATTATTTTGTATAATAAAGTTGCATAGTTGACAGACAGTGCTTCCTTTCTTTCCTGCAACTAATAATCATTGAGCAGGGATGTATGAACAAAAAGCAAAAATCTCTGTCCTCACAGAGCTTCCTTTCAAATGGCTGGGGTTGGGGAGTAGCCAGACAATAAATTACATAGTCCTATTGCAACAGAACATGGGTCAGCTGGGACTCCAGCTTGGACACCCTGAACCTTACAAGAGTCCACGTTGTCGTGGCTGAGTCACCAAAAACTGTAACCAAACACAGATCCAGCTGCCTGGTTCTTATGAAAGCCAGTACTTGAGAGACAGGTGCTGATATAAAGGAAAGTGGTTTATTTGCAGATGCTGGTCATCTGGAAGATGGGGGACTCATGTTGCAAAGCCCGTCTCTACCTCTCAGTACAGGCAGAAGTTTTTATAAGGAGGGAGAGGGAAACAGAGCAAAAAGATCAAGGGAGCGGTTGCAAAGTTCTCTGTGTGCAGACTTGCACAGTCCATTCCCATAAGGCAAGTGATGGTCCAGTGTGCGTCATCCTGGTTTAGTCATCCTGGGCTCATGCCATCCTGGCTCCACAGTTGAAGGTCAGGAAGTCTGGAGCTGGGATGCCTGAAGGTCCAGGTCTGCATCTTTTGACATTAAGCCTAAGATTCTTATAAAAACATGCTGTTTATCTACTTATTAGTCAGGGTCAGCATTTATATAAACAATATCAAAAGAATAGTGGGGGTGGGTTACAATTTCCCACAATTACAATTCCCCACTGTTACAGTATGTTGTGTGATAAGTGCTAAGAAGGAAAATAAACAAGAGAAGGGGTCAAGGAGTATGGGTGGGGGACTCTAACTTGAAAAAGGATGTGTCAGTGAGAACTTGACATTTGAGTAAAGACCCAAGGGAATGTGGGAGAGGGCCTGTGGGTGTTTGCAGTTTTAGAGTCTTCCAGACAGAAGGAAGCATGACAGGAATGGGAGATGGATGGGAAATGAGAGGCCAGTGTGTTGAAGTGGAGTGAGACACAAGGCCAGTCATGCAGGGCCTTGTAAAAAAAACCTTAAGGACTTTGGCTTTTACCTTGGGTAGGGATTTCAGGGGGGTATTGAACAAAGAAATGTTATGATCTGATTTATGTTTGTCTTGGGTGATCATTACTCCGTGCATCATATCATCTTCACCTCTGTCCTATGGGGTGGGCACTATGACCTCTCCCATTTTATTGACCAAGGAAATTGAAATTTAGAGAGATGAAGAGACTTGGCCAAAGTCCGAGTTAATAAGTGGAAGCTCCTGGATTTGTCCCCAGATATGTTGGAGTTGACCACTGTCTACAGCCTTACAGTCCAGTTGTCACACTGGGACACCTCTTGTCTTTCCACACTCAGGGAGGATACTGTTACCAATGTGTAGCCAGAGTTGCCATTAGTGGTTCTGGGTATTAATTACTGCCATGCTTATAGTAGTTGATAGATTAGCAGAATTACTATTTGGTTTCATTTTAGTTAATTTGTGTGTGTGTTTGATTTATTCAACAAATATTTGATGAAGACCTGTTCTGTGCCAGGCCTGGAAACACAGCAGTGATAGGACCAAGTTCCTGTTACACTGTTTAACTATTCTGTTCCTCTAGTTTTGTCCTATCCCCGGAATCTGCTTTCATTGGCAAGTGGGGAGGGGGATGTCTAAGAGGGATGGGTCCTCTGTCCCCTCCAAGCAGGTTATGATAATGATGTTTGAGGAATTTACAGAGTACTCTTGACCTTATCCAGTTTTACTTCTTGATTGGAGTCCAGTTAATTTTCATTGAAGATGCAATGAGAAGGGGATGGCCACAGGGCTTGGGAAGTACCCTGGGAAAGGGTGGTGCTGGTGACTGTCAGCACCAGGCAAGGTAGGGAGGGTCCAGGATTTCTCTTAAAACAAGAAGCCTTGGGTTTTCCCCCTGGTTGGGCACATCTGGTCCAGCAAAGACAGTATCTCATTTCTGTGTTGAGGATGGGTAGATGGTTTGATCAGGTGAGTTTCAAATTATTCAAAGACCACAATGGGTAGTTACTTCTATTGCAAAAGAAGCAACAGGTCAATTTCTCCTCTCTCCTGTGATGGGATGCTATAATCCCTCTATGACTTTTATGGAGGGAAAATCATCCTCTCTCTCCACTCTTAGGAGTGATCCTTCCTCATAATTCTGGAACCCTTAACTCTGGGTTTTAAATTTAAATATATGGGGTGGTGGCAGCAGGTGGCTTAAATAATAAATAAGTATGTATTGAATATTTACTGTAGACCTGCCACTAAGTGCTTTATATATGGTAACACATTTAGTCTTCACAAAAACTTTCTCCTCATTTTATAGTTGAGGAAAATGAGGTACAGAAGGGTTAAATAACTTTGGTTTTAAATTTATAGCTAGAACTCTTCACCACCAGCTCCTGCTGCCCTCAAGGCAATTTGAAGTCTAGCTGTAATGTTGCAAAGCCCCTACTCTGAGTATGTGGCTATGCAAAACATTGGTATTTTCATGATTTTCCTACCAGGTAATTAACAAGAAATGGCAGAAGTAGTATTCAAACTGGTCTCTGAATCCCCGCTGTCAGTTTCTACACTGTACTGCCTCTCATGGATAAACTTGACTGGAGAAGAATATTATTTATTTGAATAAAGAAACATACTAACATTTCCTGAAATTCTCCTTCTCTGTTTCTTCCCTGCATCTCCCTATTTTCAGGTTGCCGTGGAGTCGAGGTTCCCTCTTCGGATGACATCTTCAGGTTGGGTGAAGCCAATGTCTGCTGGGCACCCCAGCACCTACTCTGCATGGAGGAAGACACATTCATCAGGAATGTGGACCTTCTGGGGGCTGTCAGGGGTTTCAGCCATCCTCAGCTCATGGCCCTAAAGGAAAAGGCAGTACAGGTAAAGCCAGCTGTGGGAAGAAGCATTTAAAAGAGGAAAAAACCCAATACTACACCCACAGCACTTCTGTCATAGAGCGCTTGGTCTTCAAGGAGTTCTCACTGTGTTTTCTTGTGGAAATTTCACTGCAAAAAGTTTCTTCCTGCCTCTTAAGGCTGCTGTGAAGTGGAGTGAGGTGTGTCTTGGCATTTAATGGGCACTCAGTCAATCAGATTCTGTGGATGTTCCAGGGTCTCTGGCAGAGACATTTCTAGGAATTGTGCCTTTTCTTTCTCCACCTGGATAACCCAACTGTTTCATGAAGCTGCTTTTCACAGACTCTTTGCAAATCCATCTGGAAATGTAGAAGAAAGGAGTAAAACAGAGGACCAGAAGAATTGCCAATTTTTTAAAGATGCCTTCGAGTGGCTTGTTTCAGCTGTTGATAGTTGTGGAATGTATAGTTACCCTGATGGGTTAAGACATTAAATTCTATAAAATTATATTTATAACTATTTTTATAAGTAATTCGAATTTAGAAAAGTTAGGAAATAATAAAGATCAGTCATAATCTTTTACCCAGGGATAAGTGCTATTAATATTTTTATATATTCACCTGAAGCTTACTAGCTTTCTGTGTATATGTGTAAAATATACAATATTCATATATTTCATACATGTATTTCATGTATACTAACATATATATTTACCAAAAAATAGTAACACACTCACCTGCTATTCAGTAACTTCTGCCCATGCCCAACATTATACAATGCATGTTTATCATATCAGAAATATAAATCTACATCAGTATTTAAAATAGCTATATAATATTTTATTTTATGACTGGTTCTTATTTATTTAGCTAATTGGTAGGCTTTTAGATTATTTATATTTTTAATGCCTCAAAGCTCATATTTGTACATATTTCTTTGGGCACTTGTCTCATTATTTACTTAGGTTAAATTCCCAGAGGTGGGATTTATAGGTCAAAGAGTCTAAATATTTTAAAAGCTTTCATTTCATACAACCAAATTTCCCTCTGAAGAGCCTGTACCAATTTATATTATCAACATCAGCAAGTGGGTGTGTCCTTTACCTCATATCTTTCCAGCACCATAAATAGTCATTTTCTTTACTTCTTATCAGTACCATCTGTGGGGGGCTGCTAGGATGAGAATAAGTCTACCAAGACGGCCAGTCTCTCAAAGGAGAAGGGCCAGAGGCCTTTTCCTCAATGGGTTTTTATTGGGTTCATTTGCATAGGAATATATGGTGTATAGACGTAAAGCTCATCAAACATTGTCAGGCAGTAAAGATCAAACAATAGATAACATTCAAAGAACTCTAAGGGCTTATTTTGAGTCAGGGTCAGATAGCTAAAGGGCCATAAAACTTTGGGAAAACAAACTCATTTCCTGATTGGACCCTTATCATTTAAATTGAGGGTATTAGCAAAGCAGGTTTCACAGGATTTTATGCATTCTTTCTTAGGCCTGATCAACCTAGGGAACTCACCATTTCCAGCACAGGTGGCACCCACCACCGGCATTGTTTTAGGCTTAAATCAGGCAGGGGAAGTAAGGCAGCCTAGAGACTAGGAGACTTCTTGAAGACAAAATGAGGATTCAGGCTATGTCAAAGCTGAGGGGCAAGGGTCTGTCACCCCCTTTTGCTGTAGCCCCCCAAGTCTTTCCCTGAGGTCCCTCTTGTGACCACACCTGTCTTAGGTCATCCCTCCCTTGAGGAATCTTACCCATCATTGGCTAACTTGTCATCCACTGGGGGCTGGGCAGAGTAAAATAAAGGGAGCAGAGGCACCCCCCCCACACACACACACCAGGGAGATAAGCTTTGCCTCCTTAGTGGCTTAGGGTCCCAAGGTCTCTCACTCAGCCTTAGCCATGTGGGGGTTACAGCTTCTGAAACCAAGGAGGGTGGTTCCAAATGATCATCAGCCAACATGGTATTCTTTGATTGTTTTTCATGTACATTTTAAAATTATGACTATGACTGAATTTCCCCCATATGTTTATTTCTTCTTTTGTGAATTTTCTGTTTATGTCTTATTGTCTATTTTTTAAAACAAATATAGTCATCTTTTTCTAATTGCCTTACAAAAGAACTTTATATGTTAAAGAGATTTACTCCATGTCTGTTTTAAACACTTTCAGTAATGGTCAGTCTAATCTGGCTTTTTTTCCATCTGAAGGTCTGGGATATGCCCTCTTACTGGAGAGAACACCATATTGTCTCCCTCGGCCGCATTGCTCTGGCTCTTAGTGAGAGTGAGCTGGAGCAGCTAGATCTCAGTTCCATTGACACTGTGGCTTCCCTAAGTCAGCAGTCAGAATGGACCTCAGGACAGGTAGGTAGATGCTGCTGGATCTTTTCCATCAATGTTCCATCATCACTGTAATTTTTTGGTCTGTTTCTATTTAGTAATATTTCTCTATATTTAGTAATTGTGAGTCATATTTTTTTATTTGCAATCCTAATAATGTTGACTGGCTGGTGGACATTATGAACTTTATATTTTTGAGAGCTTGATTTAGTTATACTCTTTTGAAGAGTATTGGGCTTTGTTCTGGAATACATTTAAATTACCTTCAGATCAGTTTGATTTGGGGGAGGCTTCCTTTTGAAATTGATTAGGGAGCATGTAGAGTGCCTTTTATTCTGTGGTTAGTTTATTCCAATGACTGAGACATGGTCCTTCTGAGAACACTGCCTAGTAATGCTCTGTGTATTTCAAGATCTCTCTCTTCTGGCTGGTGGGAATGTGAACTCTTTCCAGCTCTGTATGAGCTCTGGGAATTGTCTACCATACTGCTTTCTGATGCCTGTTCTTTTTTAAAAATTATTATTTTAATTGGTGTTCAAGTATCTTTTTAAAATATATATTTTATTAATTATGTTGTTACAGTTGTCCCATTTTCCCAATTCACTACCTTCTACCCTGCACCCCACCACAATCCACATTCTCCCCCTTTAGTTCATGTCCATGTGTCATACTTGTAAGTACTCTAGCTTCTACATTTCCCATACTATTCTTATCCTCTCCCTGTCTATTTTCTACCTACCATCTATGCTACTTATTCTCTGTTCCTTTTCCCCCCTCCCTCCTCCTTTGATTGCCCTGTTGCTAACCCTCCATGTGATATCCATTTCTGTGGTTCTGTTCCTGTCATAGTTGTTTGCTTAAGTTTGTTTTTGCTTTTGTTTTAGATGTGGTGGTTAGTAATTGTGTTTGCTGTCATTTTGCTGTACATGTTTTTTTATCTTCTTTTTCTTAGTTAAGTCCCTTTAACATTTCATATAATAAAGGCTTGGTGATGATGAACTCCTTTAACTTGACCTTATGTGGGAAGCACTTTATCTGTCCTTCCATTATCAATGAAAGCTTTGCTGGATAGAGCAATCTTGGGTGTAGGTTCTTGCTTTCCATGACTTGGAATACTACTTTCCAGCCCCTTCTTGCCTGTAAGGTCTCTTTTGAGAAATCTGCTGACAGTCTGATGGGGACTCCTTTGTAGGTGACTGTCCCCTTAGCTCTTGCTGCTTCTAGGATTCTCTCCTTCATTTTAATCTTGGCTAATGTAATGATGATGTGCCTTGGTGTGTTTCTTCTTGGGTCCAACTTCTTTGGGACTCTCTGAGCTTCCTGGATTTCTTGGAAGTCTATTTCCTTTGCCAGAATTGGGGAAATTCTCCTTTATTATTTGTTCAAATAAGTTTTCCACTCCTGGCTCTTCTTCTTCCCCTTCTGGTACCCCTATAATTCGGATGTTGGAGCGTTTAAAGATGTCCTGGAGGTTCCTAAGACTCTCCTCATTTTTTTGAATTCTTGTTTCTTGACTCTTTTCTGTTTGGCCATTATTTGCTTTCTTCTGGTCCACTCCATTGATTCGAGTCCCAGTTTCCTTGCCATCACTATTGGTTTCCTGTGCAATTCCATTCATTTCAATTAGTTTTAGTTTTTCAATTTTAGTTTTTCAATTAGGTTTGAGTCTTTATTTCCCAGTGCTGGGACCTGAGTTGTGAGGTCTGTCTCACTACCCAGTTGTTCCTCCTGGTTTATTCACATGAAAATGTATGAACACCTGGTCCTCCAGATGCTGCCTTGCCATGAGTCCTCTCTGCTCAGCTGCCTGTCTCTGCCCCTCCTACCAGTCTGGATGAATGTTTCTTCTTTAACTCTTTGGTTTTCAGATTTTCCTACAGTTCAATTTTTAGACAGTTCTGGTTGTTTATTATTTTTAAATTTGTTTGTGCAAGGAGGCACAGTGTATCTAGCTATATCTCCATCTTGGCTGGAAATCCAAAACTTTTCTGTAGGATCTTAGAGAAAGAAAAATTCATTCTTGCTGACATAGTCAGGAAAGACTTAATGAAGAAGGTGACATTGGACTTGAACCCTCAAAATAAAAATATGGTTGAATTTTAACAGTGAGAATGAAGAAATGGCATTTCAGATGGAATGACTGATTTGAGCAAAGGCACAAAGGCAGAAGATTACATGGTTCTGTCAGAAAGTTGTAGGAGCAGATGTCAGAAAAGTTTGAATCTTGATGCAGAAGAACTTAACTGTCCAAGCTGTTTGAAGATCTGAAGGAAATGAGCCAGCAGACATGGACACAAGACACTTCCTTTAGTGCTGGTGAAGGCTACAAGAGCTTCACTATATAAAGACACCTCTGTGGTCAGAGTACAGACTTGGGGAGATTAGCCTGAATGCAGTGGCTACGGTGGTTTGAAATGAGAACCATGTGTGGAGGAGTGGGGTAGGGGATCAGTTAGGAGGCTGCTGAATTATCCCCTCAGGCTCTGTGGTCTCAATCATCCCTAGATAGTTCATCTCCTAACCTTTCTTATCTCCGTAGGCTAAATCCATCCTGCGAGGATTTCTGGAGGATTCAGGCTATTGCATCCAGGATCTGAAGAGCTTCCATTTGGTAGGACTTGGTGCAACCCTATGTGACATGAATATCACTGAAATCTCACGTATAAAGATCTCAGAATTCAGGTAACTAAAACACTAGTGTGCAAAATGGCAAAGTGATCTGTGGGTTGTTCCTTCAGCAAGATGTCCTCTGCTTCTGATGCTTGCCCACCTTCTGACCTAAAACAGAGGGGGCTTGGCTGGATCTTTCTTAGATGTTGAGCTGACTTAACTTCTGCACACTGTTTTTTTGGTTAGTGAGTCTTCCAGGCTCACACTATATCCCTACCTCTTAACCAGGGTGGTCATTGCCAGAATTGGGAACCTGCTCTGCAGCATTCATGTCTTGGCAGAGTTCAAGAGGAAGGCAGAAGTTGTGTTTGGGGATCCCACAGAATGGTCTGGCTCTGTCTTGCAGGAACTCGGAACCATTGCAGGTATGAGGCACCTTGAACATGCCGTTTTTATGATAAATCTGGGAACAGAAAAAAATCCTTGGTCATGTGTAGCAAATATTTGCATAGTTACAGTAAAACCAAGATTTCAGCGCACACAAAGTTGCAGATGGTGGGGTTGTAAATCTACCATTTGAATAAGCTCTTTCGGTGGTTTTGTGCACATGAAAGTGATTTAAAATGTGATTGCATTGGCTCCTAAATTGGTTTGTACACAATATAAAAATGCACCTTCTGGGTATACGTTTTTATTGTAGACCAATCAGGGCTAATATGACCCACATTTTTCTTCTGAGTTGATTAGGAAACTCAGTTCCCAGTGCGATTTTCAGGGTCTTCTGTAAGGAATTATGCATGCCTCAGATACACAGATCTGTGCATCTTGCAGCATCATTAATAAAATAAGTAGAGTTCTGCTGGCTTGACCCAAACCCTCATGTTTCCTTTTTCTCCCCAGCTGGATTAACTAAGGAAGAGCTCCGAGTGCTTGATAAAGATTTGATGCCGTATTTTCAACCATCAGCAATCAGATGCCTTCCTGATGAGATTTTCAAAGTAGGTCCTCAGTTCTTGAAGGAGAATTGGAGCTTGACCCCATTTCATATCACAGCAGGAAGCAGATGGCAGGTCTTGTATTCTAGGGACACAACTGGGCTTCTGCTCACAGTGCCAGAGGAGAGCTGTATGCTGACAATGGACAAGTCACAAGATAATTTCAGGATTTTTAAACAGTTTTTCTTAAACATTTAACTTATGTTTTAATTGTATTTATTTTTATGGTTGCATTCTTTTCATAGTGAGTGGCACTAATTTCTATTTATGATGGTATGACAAGTTTATATTCCCTTATCCCAAACCTTTGGGAACAGTTACATTTCAGAATTCAGAATTTTCTAGATTTTAGAAAGATCACTATGTGACTACACAGTTTGGCTGTGTCTTGGGAAGTTCCTATAAGCAAACACATTGTTCCTTTTAAGAAACTGGTGACAAGTCTCACTAACTGAAATAAATAGAGACTATAGAAGCTTCATATCAGTTCAGGTCAGGTTTTGCTAACAAATAAATTTGTCTTAAACTTTAGAAAAAACTTTCCACTTGCAGACTCTTTTTGGACTTTAGAATTGCAGATGAGGGATTGTGGACCTGGATATTTCCTTTAAATATATATTTCAGTAAAAACACTTCAATTAATTTAAAGAAAAATATTTTAAAAACCACAGTAAGACAGCTGACAAACTACTATGGAAACAAATGAGAGGGTGAAATTGGATCAACTGAAGTTAAGGAAGCAGGGTATCCAGTGAGAAGTCCTTGCTTCCTATCCATGTACAAGATCAGGGGAGTGTTTAGGACAGCCTGCTCTGATGGGGACTGACCCTGGTGTTCTTGCTTGCTGGGTAAGTTGAGAACACATTCTGTCCCCCACAACTGAATAAGACACACAAATGAGCTTAGGCAGATGCCCAGGATGCCACATCATTGGTTTATTTCAAGACACACAGCAGATCCTGAACCATTTAAATACCCAGGACAGCTGCCAGCACAGAGCAGGCACAGTAGTTGCTTTGAAGAATAAATAGTCCTGAAGCCATTGAGCTTCCTCTCTGGGGAGCTCTGTGGGACAGGCAGCTTGGTTCTGAATGCTGCCACATTGCTGAGCACTTTTTTATGGTCTTGTTTGGAGTTCAGTTTGTGGCTGCTTCCTTGCTCCAGCATTTATTCCAGAAATTCCTATTGACCACCTACATTGCGATAGGCTGAAGGCTAGGTGCATCTGGGCATGCACCAGGGAAGGGGTCTAACAGTGTCTTCAGGGGACTGGAAGATAAACTAAAGGAGTGCAGTGAGCTGGGTAGGGGTGGAAATGAGTCCTATCTAGATTGGGAAGCTACTTCTCTATTTATTTTTATTTTTTAATTCTTACCTGAGGATGTTTATTGATTTTAGAGAAAGTGGAAGTGCGGGGGTGGAGGGGAGTAGAGAGAGATCAATTTGAGAAACATCAATTGATTGCCTCTCCTATGTGCCCCAACCAGGGATCAAATCTGCAACCCTTTAGATTATAGGATGATGTTTTGATTAACTGAGCCCCTGCTGGGGCTACTTCTCATCTCTGGCACATTGGTATAATGTAACAATGTGGGCCCAGGGTTGTTGGATCTTCCTTTTTTTTTTTTTTAAGAAGAAGAAGCCCTAGATGGAATGGCTAACTGGATTGAGCGCATGCCTACAAACTACAGGGTCATTGGTTTGATTCCCAGTCAGGATACATGCCAGGTCCTTAGCTGGGGGTGCGTGAGAGACAACCACACATTGATGTTTTGTTCCCTCTCTTTCTCCTTCTCTTCCCCTCTCTAAAAATAAATAAATAAAATAAAATCTTTTAAAAAAGGAAGTCAGAAATCTCCATTTTCACTGTGAAATCTCCTGATAATTAAATGTTGGCAACAACTTTGAATTTGCTTTTTAAAACATAATGCAATAGGCCTAGAGATGGAATCTAGCTTGTGGGTGAGAAGTCAATAACATTAGAAAAATAGATAATTTTTATTACAGGCTCTGTTAATGGTAGATGTAAGGTGGAAGCCAGAAGAATACTTACGCTGTGCATGTTGGGTGGGGGGCAGTGAGAGAAAGGAGATGATGCTGAATCTTGCAGGAGAGTTGGAGAGGGAAGAGCACTGTCCAGACAGAAGAGCTTGGCAGAGTGCCGACTCGGGGGTGCTGCACACGTAGCTGGTCGTTCTCCTGAGTGAAGAGTGCTTGGGGGAAGTGGCTGGAGAGATGGGCAGGGCCCAGGGCACAGAGGCCTCATTGTCACATTCAGGAGGAGCTTGAGCTATGTCCTGGAGCAAGCAAGAGTCTACATGCATCCAAGAACATATCTCTCTAGGCAGGAAAGAGGGTAAAGGTGAAGAGGAAGGAGTAGTAGATTCTGACCCCCTTTCTCAGAATCTTTTGGGCCCTTAGAAAACAAGCCAGATTACTTTAGAGGCCTTCCCACAAATGCAGAATCCTGCCATCCCATCTTGTTCCAGACCTACTGGAACTAGTAACCACGTCCTCTGACTGAAGCGATTCCAGAAGCCTCTTGTTTAGGGTCCTTAAAGACACAGTGTGCACCAAGGAATTTCCCACTTCCAGTGTGCAGGGAAGACATCATTAAATAGATCCCACTTTCTCCCTCTTCTTAGGACTCATGGTGCTTTGGCAGTCATGCCAAAACATCAGAATATGCATAGGAGATGAGTCCTCTGTGCCATCCCATATCTCGTCCAAACGCCAGGAGAGGTTATGTAGCTTGCCCAATATCATGCCGCTTGGGTGTAGGGGAGCTGGAACACAGATTCAGCTCTGTGGCCTTTAAGCATGCATATTGTCCTCCACACCAGAAGCATTTGAGAGGTATTGTGCACAGGATTGAGCAACATTAACTCACACAGTGAGAAGTTACAGGCTCTTGTTTCAACTCACCTTTAATACTGGTTGCTTAAGGAGGAAGTCTCAATGTCTCAATTTGGAGCTAAAATGTCTTCAAGACCTCTGTAACACATTTAAATATCCCCCCCTTTTTTTTAAGGCCTCAGGTTCAGCTGTCATTAGTGAACAAATCTAGCTAGAATTCTATAATGTTTTCATTTTTAAAAAGATTTTTTAATTTATTATTTTTAGAGAAGGGGGAAGGGAGGGAGAAAGAGAGAAACAAGGATGGGGGAGAGAAAACTCAAGATAGGTTGTCTGTCACATGCCCCCAAATGGGGACCTGGCCCACAACCCAGGCATGTGCCCTGACCAGGACCCAACCAAGACCTTTCTGTTTGCAGGAGGACGCTCAACCCGCTGAGCCACACCTGTCAGCCCTGTTGTTTTTATTTCTTTTGGCTTGTTTTTTATGGTTACTGATGGCAACTCTGCCTGGTTTTCCATTTTTAGAAATTTCCATTTATAAATTTATTTTGATAACAAAAATGCCAAAATATGATCTGATTTTTAAGAAGAAACTGTGAAGATGAGCATAAAATGGTACATGACGGCGCTACCCCCTTGCCCCTGCAGGAGCTCTCAGCGGATCAGATTGCCGCCCTGGGTCCCCAGAACGCCGCGGCTGTGACCGCGGCCCAGCGCGGCCAGCTCAGCGTGCCGCAACTGCAGAGCCTCCAGTGGGCGCTAGATGGCGCCAAGATGCGTCTTTGGCTAGATGCGGCCCCCAGTTCCAGCCCCACCTGGACCCCCTCCTCCCATTCTCCAGGTGAGCAAGAAAACCCCCTGCTCACCCACCATTCCCCATCCTGCATTCCTATCCGTTGGTCCGTCTTGCTGGGCTTGGTGCAGGAGGGTTCCTAAGATTCAAGTTGGGGTCTCTCTGACAGTCAAGGGAATTGTCTTCAGAGAAAAATCCAAAGGCTTTACTAAACATGTATAAAGGACTCTCAACTCCAGCTGCACTAAAAAGTCACCTGGGGGCCCTTTAAAAACCTCCATTTTGTGGACCCCACCCAGAACCTATTGAATCAGTCTCTCAGGACTAAATTCATTTCACTGATTCTTTTTTGCCTCCTCCTTCCTTCTCACTGTGGAGTGTTAATGAATAAATCTAACCAATATATATTAGATACCTACTGTGTGCCAGGCCTGCTGTAGGGGCTGGGAACAGAAAGGTGAGCAAGATAGGCCCAGCTGTCTTGTGAACAAGATGATTTCATAGCTGGTAAGAGCAGGAGAGGAAAGAAGCCAGGGAGGTGAGATGACTGATAGAGTGGAGCTAGGAGGGGAATAGGGACATGTGGTTTTCCTCCCCCTTTTTCCTCCTTGCCTTTCTTACTCCTCCCCTCCTTTTCCCTCACTCTCCCACTTCTGTGTGATTCCTTCTGTCTTTAGTGAGCAGCGTCTTTGGTCTAAGACGTGGGGAGACAGTCATGAACAAGCCACAATTGTCTTCCATCTTCACTGAGTATAGGGGCAAGGGAAGAACACATGTCCAGGTGATCATGAGGCAGTATGATAGGTGCTATGATGGGAGCACACTGAGGGGACATGGGAGCCACAGCTGACCTGGGCTCAAGGGGCACTGGGCAGTTGCCTGGGAAGTCTCCCAAAGATAGTGATATCTAAGCCCTACCCAAGATGGGAAGAAGATGGACTCAGCCAGGTGTCCCAGAGGACACAGGAGGGTGTCCGAGGTTGAGGGAACAGTGTGAGTAAATACCCAGAGAACAAAGAGAATTTGGCACTTAAACCTCCACTATACCTTTAACAGTGCCAACATAAGAATATTCAAACCAGTAGAGAACTTTTATGAGTTTGAGCCCAACCGATGACAAGTGCTGGGAAGCAAAATCTCAACAAACTGAGAAAATGCTCCAGAGAATGGCAGTTTTGTACCTTATCTTATGCATCAGATTCAAAGGAGAAGATGTAAGAGGGTTACATGAAATTCATTGGTGGTAGATTAGGGAGGCAGGAGAATGCAAAGTGGGGAACTCTCTGAGACTGGATAAAAACTGAAACAGATAGACGCCTACTTCTTTTAATTTTTTTTATCCTCACCCAAGGACGGTTTTTTCATTGTTTTTAGAGAGAGAGAGTAAGGGAGAAAGAGAAGTATCGTTACCGAGAAGAGGTCCAAGGGGGGCGGGTAATATTTGGTCCACTGAGGGATGCCAAAAACTGCTACAGAACAGGGTCCCCTCTCAAGGACAGTATACTAATACCTACTGGGCTCATCTGTCCACCGCCAGAGGAAAGACATCTCTCAATGCCAGAGATTTGTGAAAAGGAAAGGAAAGGTTTATTTAAAGCTGTACAGACTTAAAGCAGTGAACCGATGTCCCCATAAAAATATCAAAGTCCTTTAAGATAACCACAGATACCACAGTGCTTCCTTCTCCCCCTGCCCCAATTCGGGGTACCGTGTCTCAGGAAAAGAAGCACACATCTGTGTTTCAGGCCGCTGGCACCATCAGCTCTGTCACCATCCAGGCAGAATCTCTAATTAATCCAAAGTCATGCGGCACCTTCTCAAGGTCCACTGGCAAGAGTTCTTTGTACCCATTTTCCAAGCCAAGTCTCTCCTGCTTCCCAGGCCATGTGGCCAAAGGGAGCACTCCAAATCTGCATGGGCCTCTTCTACCAAAGCTGCAGGGGTCTGCACTCCACCAAAAGCATGTGGCTTTCTTCTTCACCTGGCTGTAGGGGTCCCCACTCTGGCAAAGTCACGTGGCTCTCCCTTCACATGGCTGCAGGGGTCCTCACTCTGCCCCAAACCGCGTGGCTCTCTCTGCTACCTGGGCAAGAGGGAATCTACACTCAGCCAAAACTGTGTGACTCTCCTTCCAATGGCTGTCGTGTCTGGGTTTAAATCCCCACACCAATCCTCCTCTGCACCCCCACTTCCAACTCCTCCCACGATCAGTCACACCTGCCAGTAGTTCTGTATTATTACAAGCTTACTGGGCTGCCATTGTTAGTCTGGGCAAGTATAGCCACAAGGTGTGGAGCCAATCAACTCCAGGCTCTCACGCAGGTGCTGTAACTCAGGGGACCAGCCCCCAGTTACATCCTGGGTAGAAGCCACTCCCTTCTCTCTGGCTCAAAGCCTGGCCACAGCTATTTAACATATCTATGAAAGCAGTCAAAGGTTATAGATACGTTAAATGACCATGCCAGAGGTTAGCTGGGAAACCGTTGCTATGCAAAACAACTCTCAGTAGCCCTGCTCTATTTGTCCCTTCCCCCAACTGACACCTGGGGGGTGGGGAGGTGAGGACATCTTAATATTTCCTAGAAACTTCGAGTTCTGGACCCCATTCCAAATCTTTTTTTGGGGGGCCCCCCTCCTGGCTGCACCCTTTTACAATATCAGTTGGCCATTTCCCCTACACGTCTGGACCCAGGATGGTACAAAACCAGACCAAGGATCAGATCTGCAACCCAAGCATGGACCCTCACCTGGAATTGAACCTGCAACCTTTTGGTTATAGGAGACTGCTTCAATCAGCTGAGCCACACCTGCCAGGGTGACACATACTTTTCTTTTACACTTGTGGTTATAGGATAGTTAACAGTTAATGATCAACATAATAACAATGAGGTACTTTGTGGTCTCTTTGGGTGTGATGGTTGTGCTTCGAGGGACCTAGAAAAAAGAAATTACTTTGATATTCCAAAGATATGTTATCCTAGATGCAAAAAGACAATAGATGGGCTCAGTTAAAGTAAAGATTGACCTTTGCCAAGGAAGACAATAGCCGAGGACACTACTACCTGTCTTGAACTGCTTTTAGTTAGGAGGTTTTAATTTTAGACCATCCTATGTGGTTACTTTGGTCTCTGAGTCTGTAAGCCCACCACGCAGGCCTCCCTTGAGCTTGTGAGGTTTAGTATGTGGCCCCCTTTCCACACTAGCCTTCAGTTTGAGATGGCGAATTAGAGGATTCCCAATTTCTGCTGCTGCCAGTGTCCAGAGATGGTACTAATAAACAGGAGTCATGTCATTTGATTTACTGTGATTATTTAAAATTTTTTTCATTAGTCCGCTCTGGTGTGGTTTAGTTGGTTAGAGCATCAACTTGTAACATAAGGGTTGCAGATTAAATTTCCAGGCAGGGCACATACCTAGGTTGGGGGTTTGTTCTCTGGCCTGGGTGTGTACAGGAGGCAATCCATCAATGCTCTCTTGCATGAATGTTTCTCTTTTTTCCTTCCTCACTCTCTAAAAGCAATGGAAAAAAATGTCCTCTGGTGAGGATAAAACATACTCATACAAATCCCTGCAAAATCTCTTCATTAAAATATAATGTGTATATATTTGGAAATTATTTTTAAATGTTATAGTGTTTTGTGTGTATAATACAAACAATAAATAACATACATGGTTCACACCATGTAAGGTCTGAAAAAGAACGCAGTGACATCTCCCTCAGTCCCCTGCCCCCAAGTCACCTAGTTCCCTTCCCCAGAGGCAGACAATGTTACCAGCCTCTTGTGCATTTGCCCAGAGATATTTCTAGATTATCTCTGCACTTTGACAGAAGCTAATATTATACACTTCATTCTAGGTCTTGCATTTTTTACCTAACAATGTAAGGAGAATGTTGGAGACTGTTTCATCTCTGTACATAGAGCTGTTCTATTGCTGGTTTTCCGGTTGCCATAACTTTATTTAAGTAGATCTCTGTAGACAGACACATCACTGTTTTTTTGTTTGTTTTTTACTGTTACAAAGAACATGGCAACATATGTTCAAGTTTTCTGCAGGATAAACTCTTCGAGTGGGATAGACAGGGCAGAAGGTTTGTGCATTTGTAATACTAAGGGATATTGCCGCATCCCTGGCAGAGAAGCAGAGGGGCAGTGCCAATTTTCCCTTAAACCAGTAGGGTCAGAAAGTAGCTAGGGCACCTTAAAAAGGTGTTCCTGTAAGTCCTCAGCCAGGCACAATCCTAGATGCCTTTCTCTCTCCATTCATCCCTCAGGCCTGAGCGGGCTGACAGTGGGTGGACCCTTCTGTGGACCAGGACTTTAATCTCTTGTTTCCTAAACGTGCTTTATAATCTGAATCACCTGGGATTGATGCTTAAAATTCAGATATTGGGGCCTGTCCCAGACCTGCTTAATCTGAATCTGCAGGGCAGAATCCTGGAATTTGATTTTAACCAGCTCCCCAGGTGACTCATTTGATGAAGGCAGCTCTGGTACTGCTGATTCTCACAATCTTAGTTAATTTTTATCACCCCAACCTCTTATCTGGGGTCATCACTCCCACTTAAGAGACAGCAAAGCAATATTCAGCAGGTCAAATGATTGGCTCCAGAGGGGGCCAACCCAGGGAGTTGGATAAAATGCATCCGCGGGCTGTGGAGACCCCCCCTGTGTACTTTCTTGTGCTTCCTTTTAGGAGCCTCCATTCCCCTGGGTCTTTGGCCTGGCTGCCTGTTGCTGGTTCTAGTGCCCCAGCTCATGCGGTGAGTGGCCAGCACACATCACCTCCCAGTGCTGAAGCTGCTGGCCGAAGACCTTGATCTGAGACCAGGGCCAGGGCCTTGAAACTGGAAAGTCACAAAAAAGAAGAAAAATTACTAACAATGATCTCGCAAATTCTTAAGCTGCCTTGTTCACTTAGCTGAGACACATCCTCTGCCCCATTTCAGCCTCTCTTGTTTTCCAGCCTAAAGATAGAAGCTGTTCGGGAAGGGGGTGGGTGGTTCTGTCAACAGCATGAGGACCTTGTATACAAGTTACTGCCCTTTCTTCAGAGAGGCCAGAACAATGGGTTCAGGCAAAAACATCACTTTAGCCAGGTTTCTACTGATGGTTTCTACTCTGCCTTAATTTCCCTTCTTCAGAGCTACAGGCTACATTGGATTTCTTCTTACACATTTAGCAGAGCTGAAATAAATGAATCCCTCACAGGAAGCCAATATTCCTGCCTGATTGCTGGGACTAACTGATGTTCTGGTGGGCATTTCATTGCTTGGGAATTAAAACATTTAACATGGCTCAATGTTAAATCAATTTTTAAATACATTCTCCAGACACCTTCCATTTCACCAGGAGTCAGCTGAATGGATGGCTATTATCAGTGAAGCTTTCCCAGAATTCCTTTTTTGGTGGACATGGTGGCTCTTTCTTTTTCAAATTGCTCTGGGCTTTGGGGATGGGTTGAAATAAAAGAAAATACATTGTTGAAGTTAGTGACCCATGTGGTTATGGCACAGCAGAGCAGACACACCCCACTGGCCCAATCCTTTTGGAGGCTGGGATAGAGTTACTTCTGGAAATTTGCAGAACACTGTTGGCCTTTGGCTCAGGGAAGCAAAACTCAGGAAGGGGCGACAGCAGTGGTGCTTCGCCACCTCCCACATGTTGTGCCTTCTTAAAGACAGCCATCAAAGTTGTTTCACAGCATTCCATAGGTAGCAAGTTAGGCATCCTGGGTTCTCCTCCTGCACACACCTGGAGGTAAGAAGAAAAGCTGCTTGAGTTTCCAAACTCTCCAGTGCTCCCTAAGAGGTGGGTGGATTCTTAAAAGTAGCATAGGTAGTTGTTACAGAGACTGGCATTTTCTCATATGTCACAGGTGGTTATGACAAGAAATTAAAAGACCGGGGTTTGGAAGGCATGATCTTGCAGGTATTGTTAGTGTAGGAAGCTAGACAGTAATAAAGGAAGAGAGCAAAGGGAATCAGACATTTGGAAGCCTAATAAACTGGGAAGCCACTTCACACACTGCATAGGGGATCGCAGCATTGCCCTGCCAAGGGTATTAACACCACTCCCTCCCCGATGTAGGGAGAAAGGACTAGCTTCCCAATCTCCCCGAGGAACTGCTGGCCTGGTACCAAATAGTTGAAGGAAGGAGAGGAGGGGAAGTCCTCTGCCAGGAGCATTCCCAGTAAAAGCCAGGATGGTGCAAGGGGTGGTGCTTCCACTTTGAGGTATGCACAGCGGGAGCCACAAAGGCAACGGTGGAGGCCTTTCAGTCTAGCCTGGGCAAAGGATCGGATTGGATACAGAACCCAGAAGATCTAGGGAATGGATGGGTGAGAGAGAGGGCTCATCAGAAACCTGTGAAGGATTAGGAAATTGATTGATTAGTTCAAAAAAATGTCCAGTCCTTCTCGAGCCTGAAATAATATAATATCATCAGCCTCACAAAGGTGAGCACTAGTGCTCCCCCTCCACCAACACCAGCTCCTTCTAATGGCCCTAGCAGCTGCCTGCAGCCCAGGACTGTGCAGACTGCAAGTACAGGTCCCAGCACGAGCCTGGAGACAGCCACACAGCATCTACTGGAGTGTAGCCAGGAACAGACTAGGCTAGCCAAATGGGAACAGGCTGAACTGGGCTGAACCAATAGCACAGAATTTCTGGACACTGGCTTTTGTTCTGGGCTTGATGAAAACAAGGCTGGACTTCTTTCACAGTAGGGCAGAGCTGAACCTGGGACAGTCTTTTAATTTAGCTTCTATAATAAATATTACTACCACACCTTATCCTCCCATATGTGGGTCCCTGGAATGCTTTCCTTGTGAGTCTGTGAACCATTACTGCTGGCAACAATGTTATTTAGGCTATGATTTGGTTTTCTTTCATTGGTGGGAAAGTGGTGCTGATGTTGCTTCGACAGCCAGTTGTTTATCTTGTTACAAATCACACCAGCTGCCAATTTACCTGGGCTGGGCCAGTTGCTTGGAGAGGGGTGCCGGATGGGAATGTGTTTGTGCTCATTTTTATCAGAAAGGCCCTCAATCTCATTCAGTATTATCTCTGATTATCCCATTCCTTTGGATTATACTGGCAATGACAACAAAAACAACTCTTCTTTGGGGCAAACTTCATGCTGCCACTGTCATGTAATTTTGGGTCTCATCTTCCCATCCCTTCATGTGTTTTTGATTATTTCCTGGATTGTCCCTCCCATCCTGGGTGATGACCATGGCTCCTGTTTTGGACGGCCAGCTCTGCCTTGGGCACTGTTCTGGGGGCCTTACCTGTGTCCTTAGCTCACGTCATCACCCTCACGACCCTGCCAGGTGGGTGCCACTATGATTCCCATGTTCCAGGTGAGGGAACTGAGACGGAGAGGTTAAGGAATTCTTGTTGAAGTCCTGTCAAATAGCAGAATTTAAATACTGACTTTAAAAAAAAATCTTGCACTGTGCAGCCTCCTTTAACTTCTCTAATAAGTTAGATCAGAAAGAGAGTCTATAAATCCCTTCACCTCTTCCTCTGACAGGAGGCCAGCTGCCTCACAGCACGAATAATTGGTGATGGCCTGCAGAGTTTGTACCCTGCAGGACCCTCAGGGTCTCAGGTTGAAGTGTGCTATCCTTTGAACACTGGAAAGTAGTGGGCTGCACTGGCAGGTGCCTTTCAATGTCAACCCTGCTGTTGGATTCCCAGAGTCCATCTTCTACATTTCCCCAGCTGGATGGATGCAGAGATCACAGTCACTTACATGCAGGTTACAGGGTGCTGGCCATGGTTCTGATTATTTTGAATATTTCCCCAGCTAGGTCCTTTTGCTGAACCCTCCCCTTCAGGACCACTCCAGACACCGAGCCTGGTGTGATGGGGGCTGGAAGTCTCCCGGAAGGATTTTGCACAGGTAGTAGGCACATCAGCCCATCCTTAGGAGAGAATGTCCTGGAAACAGCTATGACTCTGGCCCAGGTATGTGGTCATCTCTTCTGCACAACTGGAGGCTGGAAGCCCCTTTGAAGTGACTGAACTACCTTCCTTTGGGGGTCTAGTGCATTGTCATCTGCTCCCTGCAACATCAGGCCCACAGAAACCCCACTCCCCATTGCACTTCTCTATGGTCCTCCCTGAGGTCTTGGGACAGGAAACCTGAGGCTCTGATTCTCAGTGATGCCTGGTCCAGTTCCAGGCACTGTCACACCAAGAAAGATTTGAGATTAGAGGAATGGACATGGCAACTCACCAGCATGTATCCCCATCAGAATACAAGCAGCTGTGGGCAGCAGCCTTGTCTGTCAGGTTCACTGCCATGCTTCTACTGCTCAGCAGTACCGATTAGGCTGGGTCATGGTTGGTGTTTGTTATATATTTGTTCAATATAGGAGTGAAACCACTTCCCTCCTTGCATTAAAATGAACTCAGTAGAATCTTTGATCAGGCAAATGCTGGGGAACTTCAGCTCCAGGGGAGCTGGGGGAAATATGATCAGAATATATTAATTTAACAAAAATTTGTTGAGAACCTACTTCTACCAGCACTGTGTTAGCCACTATGGATAGAGAGTATGCAGCCCTGCCATCATGGAGCTTGAGTTCTGCTTGGCACTGGGGGAGGCAGGTAATACACACACACACACACACACACACACACACACACACACACACACACACACATATCAGAGGGTGATAAATCTGGAGGGAGGAATTGGGAGCTTCAGATGGTGGTGGTGAGGAGGGCAGAGAACATGTTTCAAGTAAAAATCAGGTGATCAGGGAAGCCTCACAGAAAAGAGGATGACTGAGCAAAGATTTGAGGGCTGCAGGGGGTGGCTCATGTGTATCTACATCTATCCCATCTATTTCATTTATCTATCTAACACTCTATCTAGCTATTATCTGTGTATCCATCTATATCTATATGTATGCCTATCATCATCATCTCAGGCAGAAGGACAAACAACTGCAAAATCCCAGAGGCGGGATTAAAGGTTAGGGTGTCTACAGACTGCTGGAGTGGCAAGTGGCTGGGACAAAGCAGTGGAAGTGGGGTAGGGAGAGGCAGGAGATGAGGCTGGTGAGGTGATGATGGTGGGGACCAGATCAGGCAGGACCTTGTGGTCACCATTGGGCTTTGTCTCATGGTTCTGAATAAAATGAAAGTGGGATGAGGTGGAACTCACATAGGATCTTTGCCTTCCCCCACACCAAATTAGGATCTAAAAGAGAAATTTGTTTATTGAGGTCAAGAGGGTACAAGCAATCTAAAAATCAAAAGTTTATGTGGCTTTAATGGCTTTTCTTCCTATTGTTGAATGGGCCTGGGATGTTATTTGTACATTTTCTAAGGGTCCCAATCTGCTCATGAAATCCTTACACAGAGAAGCTCTGGGGAAGAGATTCCTTAAGCAGCCCATTGGGGAAACTTAAGAAGTTGTGAGTAATTGCTCAGTGCTGCCTACTTCTTTCCCTTCTGCTCCATGTGTACTACAGCATAGGCATTGCACATGATAGTGAGTGAAGCAGTTAGCAAAAAGAAGCTCTGGAAGCCCTCTCTACTGTCTCAGCACTGGTCCAGGTCCTTCATTGTTTTGTCCATGGTCAGAGGGTCTTTTTGATTTTCCAAAAACCCAGGGAACTCTTTTCCTGTGGTTACTCTCAGGTCCTTCTTTGTTAAGTAGCCTTTACTCCAGAAAACTTGTGAAATGTGAACATCATGGTTTCTATGATATGCTCCATTTCAGATGGCATTTTGGTGAGGTCTTGGCCAGAGAGGCATGGCAGGACATTTCTGGAGCTTTGCCCTCTATACCTCTCCCCTTCCAGCACCAAGGCTTCTTAGAAAAAGTGACTGTGGCTCCTGGAACTCAGTTCTGAGTTCTGTCTTACATTCTTTACATATTGTCTAGCTTCCCTTACTTTCCATCCTGTTGTCTCCTTGAAAAGCGGTCCTTGTGTCAGTTCAGTTTGAAGAACATTATGGTAGTGTTACAGAACAAGGCGGGTGGGGTGGGGAGGGCAATTATTGGCCCACCTAGGGACACCAAAAACTGTTACAGAACAGGGGCACACACACATGGGGCCAAAGGGGGGTTACAATATAC